TCGGCCACCCCGCGGCAGACGTGCCCGAAGTCCCGCTCGGAGAGCTGGCAGCCCCGCAGCGACAGCAGCCGCACCGAGTTCTCCCGCAGGCTCTCGCAGATGTCTCGGATCTCCGCCCCCGACAGCGTCTCCCCGGAGATCTGGATAGACCCCGGCAGCATCTTCCCCCGGCTCGGAGCGCCGCCGATCCCGGGGCCGCGCAGCCCGGGGCAGAGCCGGGGGAGAGCCGCGCTGCGCGCTGCGGGCCGGGGCGGGCAACGCCGCCGCTGCTGCCGCCGCCGCTGCCGGGCAGTCCCGGCCCGGCCCACCGCGGCCCCGGGGGCGGCACCGCGCTGCCTCACCGGCGGCCGCCGTGCCGCCCCGCTCCGCCCGGCGGGGCGGTGTGGCCCAGGGCAGCCATCGGCGGGGCTGATCCGCACCGGGACGCAGGGTCGCGCCGCCCCGCAGCGCCGGGCGGGGGCCGGGCAGCGCCGCGGGTCCCCGCCCCGCTCCGCCCGCACCTGCCGGGCCGCCCCGCCTTCCCGCGGCCGCCGCTCCGGCTCCGGGCCCTCCTCCCCGCCCGGCCAGCGCCTCGCCGCGCGACGGAGCAGGCGTGGAGGGGGGTCCGGCATCCCTCATCCCACCCCGGCATCCCGCCCGGCATCCCGGGCCCCGACGCCGCTCAAAGCCTGCGAGGGGCGACGGCCGCGCCCGCTGGCACCTGCCCGCTGCCCTGAGGAGACGGCGGGGCCAGGGCCGGCCCGGCTGGGTCCCCGACACTGGGGGTGCAGGAGGGGAGGGAGTGTGTAAGAAGCACCTGGGAAAGGCTCTCCATGCCAGCCCTGCTCCCACCTGGGGAAAGGGGCCCAAGCCATTGGTGCACTCTGGGGGCTTGGTCCGAGAAATTGTGGTGTTCCATGGCTTCAGTTGCCTTTAATACTTAAACTCACTAAACCTGAATCCTTGACCCATGACTTAGTGGTGAGGTCAGATCTGCTCCTCATGGCCCAGAGTGTGCAAGAGCCAGTGCTTGGAGGCAGCTGCCTGGAGGTGAAAGTTGGAGAGCTGGGGAAGGGCCACAAACTTCCTTATCCCTGAGCACACAGCCTCTGCCCTCAGCCTGACCTGAGGTATATGGGGCACACCCCACCTCCTGCTAATTCACAGGTATGGATCACAGGGATTTGTCCCCTCTCTCCCCATTGAGTAATCCTGTACTTGGAGAGAAATAGGAAGCAGGGCCCCTGCGTTTTCAACTTCACTGAGCTGAAAAAGGAAGGCAGTGATGTGGAAATTAGGTTAAACCGCCTAAGTAGGCAGCTTTCTGCACGTAACTAATCTGGCTGCTGCATATAGCAGTGCTCAAATGAATTCCAGCCCAGTGGGTAACACTGGGACAAAACCAGGCTCCTCTGCTTGGTTTGCAGGCCAGGGCCCAGGAGAGGGGATGGAAAGGGAAGAGAAAAATAGGGTGTGGAGGGGGATATGGAGTACTTTTCCTCCATTGAAATGGAGGAGCAGATCACCTGAGCTGAGGATGCATATTAGGTCCTGGATGAGGTAAGGGGAGCAGCAGCTTTAAGACTTTGGCTTCAACTCGCAATGTGGGTATCACCACGCCCTTTGAGCAACCCGTGGCTGCTCTCTGGAGTACCTACACAGCCTCCTCTTTCTTTCTCTGTTGCACAGAGATGCATGACCTTGATACTGTTCTGCAAGATACACCAAGAACAGACCACTGGCCTCGCACTTCATCTCTGCTGCAATATGAGCAGCAGCTGCAAGCATCCAGATGTGGTACAGCTGTGGTACTGTGGCTTTCAGAAATGCAGCAGCTCATTTCTAAGGTCACATTAAAAGACCCAGGTGAGAATGCAATCCTCCATATTACAGGATGGTGAGGGACAGAGTTTTCAGAGTTATAGCCAGGGGGTAGCCAAGAAAATCCCAGCTGCTGCTACTGCATGCAGGTCAACTAGAAGGCTACACTCAGACTCACCTCTCAATTACCTCCAGGCACTACTCAACCCACGCTTTTTTAAACAGACTATTATTAGAGAGGTGCTCGGAGGAGAGCCCCTGGGACATGTCCCACTTCCATTGCAGCAGCAGTCCTGAAACATTGATGAAGATGCTCTAGTGCCTCTTCACTGCCTGTTGTCAGGAGCCAGAGCACATTGAGGAGACAAGTATCCCACCTACTTTATGCTCAATTCATTGAAAAAGTGGCACAGGAGCTAATGGTCCAAAGCTTTGGCTCACCAAACCTAATACAGGGCTATGAAGAGGGGACTTTGGCAATGCTATTTTGTGTAGAACTAGGTATTTCTTCCTTGTCATGTGCAGTTAGCAGCAGGTATGAGGAAGGTCATTTATTGTTTACCTACCAGGGGCAGAAAGAGTGATGGCATTGAGAGTTAACACATAAACAGAGAAAAACAGTGGATGAACAGCAACTACAGTTAGAGTAGACATAGGAAACAAATGGGAGAATAAAGAGCCCACCTGTAACCCAAAATCACAACTAAGGTGACCATTAGTACAAGGATAGACTGTAAGAAGAGTTGGACACTCAGGTACTGCATAGGAGAAGAGGAGGTCATAGATGCTTTAATATTAATTTTCAGCTTTAATATACAGCTTTCTCTTTCTAATCTGACAGCTTTGTATGTTTGTTCCATATTTAATAGAGGGGCTTACACAGAGCTACCTTTATTCAAAAGGGGGAAACGATGAATGGGTTATTTCAGATTTGCTGCAAGGGAGAAGGGCAAAAATTATTTGAGATTTGCTGCAAGAGCTGTGGCAGGAAACAAAGACAGAGATAGTATTGCACGATAGGGTTGTAAGGCTTGTTCTGCTAACTAGAGGACTTGAGTAAGCACTGAGATGCCCTCCCACAAGGACTTCATTAAGCCTGCGTGCTCAGCATGCTCCCTGGAACTGCAGCATGCATGCATTTCTCTGAAAAAACATGTCCTTCTCTGTCAGTGAAAGGCAATGCTGAAGCTCTCAGCCGAGCACTGAATTTCTGGCAGTAAAGAACAGTTCAGCTTCCAGCTGCTGCTGCACAAAGAATTAATCAGGGCTGAAGAACTGGAGCAGAGCAAGCCCCACAGGTTCCAAGAGAGTGGTTGGTTGTCACCCTGATCATGTCCCCAGCTGACACAACACACAAGCTGCTCAGGGGAAGCATGAGGAGTTTACTCACTGCTCTCTGTGCTTTGAGTGAAAACACAGGGCACAGCTTCACCCCTCTGGTTCAGCTGAGTGGCTCAGTGCAGGAGGGAGCACAGCTGTTCTCCAATTGTGTCATAAATCAGCAATGGTACAAGATTGGTGCAGAATGATTTTTTTTTCTCAGCTGAACTTACTCCAGTGACAATTGTCTCCTTCTCCTTTCCTTCCCCCCTGCCAGTACTTCCAGAGTTTGCACCAAGAAAAATAGATCCATTCTAGGATGCCAGGGCAAGAACTTGGAATTAGAAACAAACCTCCCATGGAGATATAAAGAGGGAAATACCAGAAGCAGCATTACAAACTGACATTTCCATTTTGTCAAGTTTTGAAGTAATAGAAATTCTAGGAGCTTTAAGTGGTTCAATTGGTCCAAAAAACCCCATGGAGACTACTAGCCAAAATAATTAACAATTCCCCCAAGTAGCTTGCTCTGAGTGCTCTTCTTCAGACAAAATGTTTCCTAAGGAGGAGGGTCAGCAGGGGAGAAGAGAGTGAGGAAACCTGTCTGTTATATGTGTGAGTGTTAGCAGAGAAGCTTTTTGCTCTTGAAAGGGGGACAAATTATGAATGTGGGAATAAACAAATAGGGGAAAGTAGGTCTGTGACTGAAAATAATCAAGTCCTGTCCAGTGACATTTTTTTCAACTGAAGCAGATGAAAAACCTGATCACAGTAGCTGGCACTGTCTTCCTCTCTTTCATTGCACCTTGGCACTAGTCTGAATGCCACTACAGCTGCATCCTCTCCCATTAATATCAACAAGGGACCAAACAGTGCAGTTCTGACATACTGCCTTGTGCACTTGTGGGCACACCAGGAAAGGGCCATATCCTGGGTTTTTTCTGTCTGAGTGTAAAGATGACCTTCTCTGAGGGGTGGCTTCTCTCCCCCAGACATCCAGAACCACAGGGAGAGAAAAGATGAAAGCAGACCAATAGAAGTTCGAGCAGTGAGGGAAGGCTGAACTACTCAGTTGTGAGTTACTGCAGTGCAGGTAAGCCTAGACTGGGCTGCTCTGCTTACCCATCCTTACTGGAGATTTCCTGCATCAATACACTGGAGATTAATATGGCCACTCTATTTCCATTACACACTCTGCTACTTCTCCCTTTGTTAAATGGAAACACCAGAGGAAAGCTTGCCAGAGACTCTCAAGGCCCCAAGAGTCCTTTCAAACAAAGGCCTAGACTCAGCTTGAAAAGCCAGGCAGCACACAGCAGAATGGGTGTCTGGGGAACAGAATGCCACTCTTGCCCAGAGGTGACAGTCCCATGGCTGGGAGACATGAGGGCCAGCAGCACAAGGGTGGGCTGAACTGGCCTCCGAATAGAAATATCCACTGAAAACCATGCACAAATGTGCTGCCCTGCATGTCCCACAGAGCAACATGGCAGAAGGGTGGCAGGGACAAAGGGTATAGTGAAAGCGTGGGGACAGATACATTTCTGACATCCAGATCAGAAGGGATGCTGAGGTGAGATAGCAGCTCGGACCAAGTGAAGAGAGAGGGATCAATAGGGAGTATGACAAGAAATAGCATGTGGTTAAACACTGTGCTGTTCCTGAAAATCACCAGAGAAAGTGAAGTTCCTGTGCCTTTTGAACTACTATGCCTTTGAAAAAGGTGCCCAAAACAGGACATGTCTCACAGAACATTTGAAGAAGGACAGCAGAAAATTGCAAAGAATCCTGCTTTGAGTCTAGGACAGGACAGATGAAGGCACAGAGACCCAAACACCATGCTCCCAATTAGACAAGCAGGCTCAAGCATAAGACATCACTCAGCACCAACATCAATTTAATTCTTCCCTCTTCAGGACAGGAACAGGGCAGATACTCCTGGAGTTACATCAGCAAGCGGAAAGAGGGCTAAGGAACAAACTGTGCTGGGAAATCCCAGCTAAACATGCAGGCAACAGAACCACTCTATTCAAGATAGCCCACACCTGGATGGGGGAAGAGTACAGCTCTTCTGAGTCACTGAGGTGTGACTCGCCTCTGCTGAGTCCACTCAGCTGCCCAAAACCTTAATGCAGAGGACAGGTCCAGGAAAACAAAACCAAGTTGTCTTCTTGCTGTTCTGTCCTGTTCCTAACAGGCAGCAGGTTACTGTGGCCCTATGCAGCCCCAAAAGTAGTGAAGGAAGCAAGTCCAAGTCTGTAAAACTAGAGGGTCAATGCAATGGCTTTGGCTGTTGTGTTCAGTACAGCATTGGAAACAACTGGAATGTCTCGGGCAACTCTCTGGAAGGGCGGCATGTTGGGTCCTTCCAATGTGTCCAGGATACCTGGAGAATAGAAAAAAGGGGAGAGAGGCAAGAGTTAGTTCAGATGATAATAGATAGCACATTTCTTCTTGCTTTCCTCTCTGTCCAGGTAGGGGTTGAGGGTGGCAAGGCTCAGAACAGGCAAAGCACTTGCAGGCAATGGGAGGAGACATCTAGCCCCAAAAACTGAACAGGAGTAACACTTCCATCCAGAGACCACAGGGTACATACACATCAGAGCTTGTGCAAAGGGCAGAAAAACTGCATGTTCCCAAAAGGAACACAGACCCTTTTGCTTTGAGAGTGTCAGATCCAGTCCCCTGCCATTTGACCTGAATGCAGGTACTGCCAGAGATGTTGCCCTGCTGAGGGAAATTGATAAAATCCTGTTTGTACTTCATCCCAGCACAGATCTCGCTCTTAGACCAAGAGTCACTTTCATCCTGATATACACTTGCAGACTCACATCAGGAGCTGCAGCTGTGCTGCAATGTGGAATTTTTGTCACCGCAATGCACAGACCATGCTTGGCAGGAAATACACAGACCAATGCAATTGTCCTCAAGTCTCTGTCAATTACCCTCTTAAGACTGATAATCAGTTTTGGAGTGCTTTGAGGAAAATTGCTTGGAGTATATTCTATTCTATTTAATCTGCCAAAAAGCTGCAGATCAGAACCTTTGCCATAAGAACAGATTCAGAAAAGACAAGATTTATATCCAAAAGGACTTGTAATGCTATTAAGCTAATTATGAAGATTTATCAGAAATATCACAAATGGGTCTGGCTGCCTAAACTCATAGAAGAGACTTGCAGAATTGCATATTTAGGGATATTTAGGGATCTGGAAACTCTCTAGAGATGGGGTGGGAGAAGAATTTTGCTTTGTGGTGTTTTTTTTTTTTTTTCAAGGAAGTTGAGACTTTGTTAAGAGAAAAGAAGAAGAGATAGAAGGAGGACGTGAACATGCATGGCCTGGTTAACAGTATCAGCTGGGGAAGATACAGCTTCTACTATCTGCTAGATAGTAGAAGATACAGAAAGATGTTAAACAAAGAAGGAAAAACACTTATAACATATTTCCTGATCAGAGAAAAGCAACCTGACTTCAACAATATTCAGGAAAGGCCTGGACATCTGCATGAAAGAACAGTCAGTGCTGTTACACTTCACTTGTGCGGAAATAATTAGGGTCCTGCCTCACAAATTGGGTCTTAAGTGCTAAAACTCAGTGCACAGTAACTACCCCAATGTTTACCTGCTGCCCTATTTGAACAGTTTCTTCTAAAAAGCCAGTGGTAGTGATTTTAGAGTTGGAAACTGGCACAGATGCCCTAAGGGCAGATTCAACTGTCCATCCTTTCTCTCAGAGAGAGAAAAAACAACTTCTCTTCCCCCAGATCTAACAGGATGTCTTTGTATCTCCCTTGCTTACCTTCTACCACCTTGTGATAAGCAAAGTGCAGATAGAGGAGGAAAAGCATATGCAGAGCAGCAAGAGTCCCACACAGGATGAGCCGCTGGGTATGTCCCACGGTGCGTGACACCAACACAGCAACCTAGGAGAGAGGAGCTGATCAGAGACAGGGCACCTGTACCTGAGCCTCTGGCACTGCAGTCAGGAACACATGGAAGAACAGGTCAGGCAGCGAGAATCTGCAGGAACACTGCACTAAGTCTTTTTTGCAGTTTTCATCAACAAATTTGGAGTAATTTGGCACTGTTTTGTGTAGGTGAAATGTGCCCAGTCTTGCCGAGAGTTCAGGCTGCTCAGGCATGGCTCTCCACAGCAGCAAGGGCTGTAAGGGAGTAAACAAACCTCCTGTAGCTGTTAGAATGGGTGAGGATATTAATGGAAGCAGCACCTCCATACACCAGTGGCCAAATTATGCAGGAGCATAGTTTTCTCCACAGCAGTTTGCCTGGCTGTGAAATGAACCACCAGGCCAAGGAACAGAAAGCAAACTCCACTTCCCTCCCTTTTTCTGTCCCAGGAAGAGGAGGACCCCAGGCTGCCTGTCCCTTACCATTCGTAGTGTAGAGAGTCCACCAACGACCAACCAGAAGATATAGAAGAGGGAGTGGAAGTGGATGTTGTAGGTGACAAAGAGAGTGATGCAGTGTCCAAAAAGACCGTAGCCCTGACAAAACAAAAATGTCCATGTTACAAGCACCAGTCCCACACAAAGGGCCATTGATGAAGAGCAGAACAGCCTATTCCTGCAACACTTCACCATGGCAAAGCCTCACAAACCACTCATTCACTGCCCAACAGTCAACCAGAACAACAATGGCATCTCACACACAGATAATCGATCTGAAGGATTCACAGGCATGTGAGAGATTACGACAAGGTGGGAAACAGAGGAAAGATCCTCCAATCCCAGAGAAACTGGAGTCTCCTGGCTTTTAACCACCAGGTTCTCAAATGAGGAAGTGCAAAGCAGGAGACCTGCATGAAGGAATTGCCTCTTTGTACTACTGCTGTGCCTGGGATGGGGCAGGTCAGAAGAACATCCTGGAATTCTGGGTTATTACAGTGCAGTTACCTGCAGTTACCAGCAATTTACAAAGACTTTTCCTGTTCTTTGTGAAAAGCTTGTTCTGGAACACCATACAGCCAATGTGCATCAAAGGGTAGCTCCATGAGTACATACCAGCAGTGACAGCATCTGCACCATCGTGATTTGGGCATTGCACAGATATGCCAGGAAATACATGAAAGATGAGACGCCCAGCCAGTAACCGAAGCAGGTTCCAATGGCTGTGCCCATCAGTGTGCCTTCCCTCTGTGGAGACAGTATCAAGATGGGGAGAACAGTGACCTGCCAGCACCCAAATTAACCCCTGAGAGTCCCAGACACTTTGTAGGAATTATCAAATAGGTGGCCAGCAGCATTCAGGGGGCCACAGGACCTACACTCCAAGCTCTCCCAGCAGCAGTGTCAAGAGTTTCTGGTACATCTTTCCTCCCACCCCCAAACCAACATCCTCAAATCAATCTGCTTTTCAGCAAGATGCTTATTCAGTTATAGAAAAGGTTTCCTCTCCTTTTCTAGTGTCAGTACAGCAACCCAGAGCCCAGTCAAACCACCACTTATCACTGAACCTCGACGTACAATGATGGTGTCTGAGGTCTTCATTCCATGCAAAAGAATGGCCACCAGTGTGAAAACCAGCATGAGGGGTCCATACAGCTCGCCTGCAATCTTCTGCAGCAGGAGACAGGTGAGGGAAAGTTTGGTTAGAGCCTCTGAATATCATGGTCCCCACCACAGGCAATGTGAGAAGTTCACTGGATGGAGTTTATCACCCAGGTTATCACCTGAGGTTAGGTGACAGCACACTGAGGTTGGGAACAACCATGGAAGGGAGCTACAAACATTTTCAGGGAGAAGAACACCTAAGAAACTCAGTCCTTAATAATATGGATTATGGCAAGTTTTACAAGGTGCCTGTGGGACAGTCACTTGGCCATGGAGTCTGATTCAGCAAAAGGGAACTCACCTGTGGGAAATTAATCATCTTCACAGGAATCATGGACTCCAGCAGTCTGCCTCACAGGAAAACAGGGAATGACAACAGGAGCAGGAAGAACAACAGGATAGTTAACAAAATGCTTCATAAGTAAAAGATGCCATATACCCCTTACCAGTGCTTGCTATTGTGTTGACAGGCCTTGAGGGACAGAGGATTCTTTCTAAAGGGTGAGTCAAGGTCATTAAAGAAAGAAAACCTTACTGTCAGTGGGTTAACTTTGCTGAGAAGGGGCAGATTCAATGAAAATGTTTAGGAACCCACTCAGGGATGAGAGATCATTGACAGAACAGCAGGAAGGAAAGGTAACTTTCCTCAACAAGGCTCACAAAACTTTGCCTTGTTGAACACAACTGTGTTGCAAACCCAACAGAAGCCACATAAAGCAGCCAAGTAGAAAAAGAGCCCCTTCTCCTGCCCTGAGCAGCAATGCCAGGTGACCGGGCTGCCAGCCCAGCCATGGGACCTCACTAAGGCGAGCAGGACAACGCACAATGTGTTTGCCCATATGTGAGTCTTCCTGCAGGGCTGCCAGCCCTCTGCTGCTCGCTGGCTCGGAGCTGGCAGCCAGGCTCCTGCAGGCACGGAGCCGCTGCCTCCCCGCGCCGGGGCTGCCCACCTGGCTCGCACTTGGACGGGCTCCACATCGAAGTAGGGCCGGAGGATGTCGATGTTGGCGTAGAGGCTGAAGGCCCTGGAGGCTTGTCTCTTCCCCACCTGCCACATCTGCGGAGAGAAGGGAGCGGGCAGCGGCCGGGCGGGCAGGCAGGCAGGGGCCCCGGGGCCGGGCGGGGGACAGCACTCACCTGGTCAGCGACCTGCCGGCCCAGCTGCCCCCGCAGCCCCTTCATGCCCAGGAACTCCCCGTCCTCCTCCTCGCCGGCGCCCGCCTCGCCCTCCGCCTCATCCTCCTCCTCCTCCTTCATGCGCTGGTGCATCTCCCCCATATCCTCGAAGCTGGAGCCCGATGTGTCGTCCATGTTCTCCATGTCGATGACAGCGGAGCCGCCACCCTGCGCCGGGGCACACACGGTGTCAGCACCCGCTCGGCCCCGCCAGGCCCCGCCGCCGCCCCCGGCCCGGCCCCACCTGCATGTTGTCCTCGAAGCCGCCCCATTCGGCGGCGGGGGCACCGCTCCTGCCACCGCCCGCCGCCCCCGGCGCGGCCATGATGCCCGTCCCGGCCCCGCCGCGCTGGCCCGGATGGGCGGGAGCCGGATGTGACGGCGGCCGTGGAGCCGCGGGCAGGGCCGGGAGCGCCGCCCATCGCCCTCATGGCGGCCCGGCGGGCCACGGACGAGATGCGGGACCGCGTGGTGCTGGGCGAGTTCGGTGTCCGCAACGTGAGCGAGCCCGGCGGGGCGGGACGGGGGGCGGCCGGCGCCCGCAGCCCCTCACGGCCCCGCCTGTGCCCTGTTCTCGCAGGTCCACACCACCGACTTCCCCGGCAACTATCCCGGCTACGATGACGCCTGGGACCAGCGGCGCTTCGAGGAGGTGGGTGAGCGGCGCCGGCGGCCGGGGCTCTCTGTGGCTGTGCGGGGTCGGGCTCTGCGGCCGGGGCTCTCTGTGGCTGTGCGGGGTCGGGCCCTGCGGCCGGGGCTCCCTGTGGCTGTGCGGGGTCGGGCCCTGCGGGCGGCTGACCCGCGGTGCGCGGCTCCCGCAGGCGTTCCGCGTGGACGTGATCCGTGAGGAAGAGGACACCCTGGAGTTCGACATGGTGGGCATCGACGCCGCCATCGCCAACGCCTTCCGCCGCATCCTGCTCGCCGAGGTACCCGTGCTCACCTGGGGGGTGCCCGCCTACGACTTGCTTGACAGGGAGCGTGGAATGCCCAGCCTTGCCAGCCCCTGCGGACAGCTGCGGGTTTTGGAATGAAGCACACGTTCATTCCGCGTGTGTGCCAGGAGCCCAAAGAGAATTAGGGCTTTAGCAGCATGGGCGATACCGCCTGCTGGTCCTAGGTGCTGTTGGTGGTGGCTGCGGGTCAGCCTTTTTCACACAGCTGTGTTGCCATCCCAACAGAAGCCACATAATGCTGCCAAGTACTAAAAGGTTGAGGATGCCTCAAAGCCCTTTCTCCTGCCCTTCACCTCTTGCGATAGATTGTGTGAAAAATCGGGGATGGGAGTTTGTGTGTAGATGGGGTGTAAGGGTATATTGCATAGCCTGATTTGTCAGAAATACCACTCAAAATAGTCTGCATGGCAGTTATTTGTGGGAGAGGAGAGACACTTGAGCTGGATAATCTCTTGGCATATAGTTCAGCTATTGTCTTTGGCTGACTTGATCTCTTGTCTCCCTGAGGTGCCAACGATGGCTGTAGAGAAGGTCTTTGTGTACAACAACACATCCATTGTGCAGGATGAAATTCTGGCTCATCGGTTGGGCCTCATCCCTATCCGAGCTGACCCCCGGCTCTTTGAGTACAGAAACCAAGGTGAGAAGCTTCAATAGAATAGAAATATTGAAGGTTTCTCTCCAAGTAGGAAATCAGGGTCGTGTAAACTGAGCAGAAGTGTGATTTCCTATGCTTCTTCCCAGGAGATCAGGAAGGCACTGAAATTGATACTCTGCAGTTTCAGCTGAAAATCAAATGCAAACGAAACCCTCAGGCTGCCAAGGAATCATCTGATCCCGATGAACTCTATTTCAATCATAAAGGTGAGATTGCTCCTAAAAATAGGTGCTGTTTTTTCTTTTTGGTCTTGGAAGACAGGACTTGGGCTGTTTTCTCAGCCCTGTGTGCTCACAGGGAGAGTTGATTTCATTCTGCTAAACTTACTTTTTGCTATCTCTAGTCTTGTACAAGTGAGTGACCTGCTTTGAGGCAGCAGCTGGCTGATGCTTTTGGCTTCTCTTTGCAGTGTACAGTAAACACATGACATGGGTGCCCTTGGGGAATCAGACAGACCTTTTTCCAGATGCTGACTTCCGACCTGTTCACGATGACATCCTCATTGCACTGTTGCGACCCGGACAGGAAATAGATGTGCTTATGCACTGTGTCAAGGGAATAGGTGAGTCCTGGCTCCTGGGGCAGTGGGACAAGGAATGGGAGTGCTTGGGCACTGTAGTGTGATGGGGAAGGGTGGAGAACTGGCTTTTCCCCTGGAACTTTAGGCCCCAGCATCCTTGTTCCCTGAGGCCTGCTCTCATTCTTCACTCTTAACTCTTGATACAGGTAAGGATCATGCCAAGTTTTCTCCTGTGGCCACAGCCAGCTATCGACTGCTTCCTGACATTACTCTCCTGCAGCCTATTGAGGATGAGGCAGCTGAGACATTGCAGAAGTGCTTTTCCCCTGGGGTCATTGAGATCCAGAATATCAATGGTACTTTTTTCCTGTGCTAAGTGCCTTGTTCCTTGCGAGCTTTAGTAGAGAGGATTGGAGCTTAGAGCCAAACTTAGCAGAGACAAAACCACATTATGATGTTGCCTTGCTGATCAATGGTTCATGCTCTTCTGAGCCTGGTTTTATGGATGAGTGGCTGCCATGTGCACACGTGTTGGGTGATGAACAGGGATGTCCTGAAATAAATTGGGTACCTGTCCACAGAGCTCTGCAGCTGCTGACTGCAGCTTCCAGTGCTGTTCAGTTGTGACACTGGGTAGTGAGCTTGCTAGTGAGCTGGAAAAGCAGCTGAGTGTGGAGACTTCTTGTGTCCTTCCAGGGGTGCATGTAGGCTTAGTGTTTGGGTTTTCCTGCCAGGTTGGAGTTTCATGTTGGGTATATGCTAATTCTTGATATTGGTGTCTCTCAGCCTTTGGTGAGGGGGGAGTGCCTGTTTGAGGTAAGCATGTGCTGTATCCATAAGGCACCCACCTGCTGCAATTTGCCCATTTTGTTTCATCTTCCCTTTAGGAAAAAAGGTGGCAAGAGTAGCCAATGCACGTCTGGACACATTCAGCAGAGAAGTTTTCCGACACGAGGGTCTGAAAAACCTCGTGCGCCTGGCAAGAGTACGGAACCATTACATCTGTAAGTGCCCCGTTTTCCACAGAGTGCTGACATGGCTTGTGAGAACAAGCAGTGACTGGCCAGCATGTATATGGCTGGCTCTGTACCTCTTCCCACCCTCAGCATCCAAACATTCAGAATGCGATGGGTAACTGCTTGCTTTGGGAATCTGGAAATTGAATCTGTTGGTGCTTCCTGCTGGCAAAGGTAGCTGCTTCTGGCTGTGAAGATCTGGCTTGTTGCTGTGAGGTGTAAGGGAAGGTGAAGGACAGCAGCATGGAGCCAGGTGCATGGAGACTGAGGCTGCCTCATAGCTCTGCTGACTTGTGTCTGTGTCTCTGTGCAGTTTCTGTGGAGTCGACGGGTATCTTGCCTCCAGATGTGCTGGTGAGTGAAGCCATCAAGATCCTGATGGGAAAGTGTCAGCGTTTCCTCAATGAGCTGGACTCTGTGTCTATGGAGTGACCAGGCTGTAGCTGGGAAAGCAGAAACCTGAATTGCTGTTCTGGGCTTCCTGCACTTGCCTCTAGGGGAATTCCTCTTCCATAGGCAGGAGGCTTGTTAGGAGCTTGCCAGGAGTCCAAGGACTATCTCCGGATTTTTCTATTGGTAATGAAACGCAGTGAGACGATGCACTGAAATAAAGGTTCATTTTTTTAAAAGCTGTCTCCTGTGCCATTCACAATTGTGAAACCACAATACATGGAGAAGAAAGTGGCAGCATGTCTAAAGATGAGTAACAGCAGTGAGGAGGACTGATGGCAGCATAGTAAAGCACTTCACAGCAGGTCAGTGCGGTTTAACGAGCTGCGAACAGAGCATGGCTTTTCGTGGGTGTTTCAGACCAGCTCAGGGATAGTTAATATGGCAGAGAAAAGGCTGTACTGTCAGAGGACTGGAACACCTCTCCTATGAAGAAACCGAGAGAGCTTGGAGAAGCTGGAGAACAAGAAAGCTCCAGGGAGAACCTATTCTGGCCTTTCAGTATATCAAGGGGGCATGGGGAAAGACTTTACCAGGGTCTGTACCGACAGGCTAAGGGTCAACAGTTTTGAACTTGAGAAGGTAGGCTTATATTGAACATGATATTTTTTACAATGAGGATAGAGACAAGTTGTCACAGGTTGCCCAGAGCTGTGAATGCCCCATCCCTGGAAGTGTTTAAGGCCAGGTTAGATGGGGCATTGAGCAACATGGTTGAGTATTAAGAGTTGAAAATGTCTTGGAGTATTGGTGTGTCCCAGTTGCTGAAGTCAAAGCACACCATAGTGCTAGACCTCAGCAAGTAAGTAGAATGAAAGTTCTGTTTCCTTGGGGTAGGATTACTTAGAGTGTAAAGATCGTGTTAGGGTGAACATGCTGTAGGGAGCAGGTACACTTGGCATCCTGGCTCCAACCCCAACCTGTCCCATGCCATGCCACAGACCCAGGCATATGCTGCATGTGCCTATCACACGTTATCTCTATCTATCTGTCTATCTATCTATCTATCTATCTATCTATCTATCTATCTATCTATCTATCTATCTATCTATCTATCTGTCTATCTATCTATCATTTCTCTGTGCTATTGCTTCACATGCTTATGGGACAGACCCTTGAAAAGCCTAAGGGTTTTGCTTTGACAGCACATACCCCTGAAGCTGTAAGCTGGGACCTAGAATTAAAATAAACTAGCAGTGACAAATAAATACTTTAAAAATGCAATTTCCCCCTCACCTAATTAAACTATATAGTCCAGAATGGTTCACCCCCTCCCTGACAGTGTACTAACCACCAGCAAAGGTGCCCACTTTTTGGTAACTGGAATAAGGAATGCTGAGAAATCTCCAGGCAGGCAGTCTGGTCAGACCAGAGGCCTCAGATCTTATTGAAACAGATGAAAGAATAAAAATGAAACATGACACCATGTGTATGAAACTGGAATAGCTTTACTGACATTCAGGTGTAACACAACCAGTTCAGAGACAGCTTCGGATTTAAACATTCCTACAAAAAAGGTTTAAAATCCATTTTACAAAAACCCCTTTGTGTCTAGCATGAAGTCACAGAATGTTAAAAATATCACAACACAATAAATACACCCAGCCTTTGCTAGAGCCAGGAGCCATGTTAGCTCAGAGGTTAAAAAAGTTTGAGGCTAGGAAGAAAGTGGAGGGTGCTGGTGGAACAGCAGGGGCAGGAGGGTGAGTGGATGGCCAAGGCCTGCTCTTCCTATCTGCACTCCCACACCTCCCAACACTAGCCTTTTTGTCCAGTCTGTCCATGTGGAGACATCACTTCTCCACCTACCACAGTTTATTACTTGTTCTGTCTCCTGGATGGCAAAACTGCCAGCTAGCTCTGGACAGACCCTCCTAGCTCCTGGGCTAATTCTAGGATAGATTGTGTAGTATTTGTCATGTAAGAAGAACCAGCTTTGCAGACTGGAGTGGCTTCATTAGAGTCCCACCACAATCTAAAACCCAGTTTCTGACCTGGCTCCCCCCTGTAAACTGCAGTATCAAGCCCACCCCTCCTGCCCCACCATGTAATTCTCTGGGAAGTACCAGACTGGGTAAAAACAGGGGCTACTGTCACCTCCACTGCAACAGGGCAAGGAGATCCCTTTTGGATTGCAGGTACTTCAGGTATTGGTCCAGATTTTATCTACCCTGTGCTGGCCAAGTTCTAGTCTACAGGGCATGGAAAAATGAAAAAAAAAAAAATATTAAGAAAAAATATGTCCTGCTCCCCCTGAGAGATGTCCAAGAAAGGCTGGCACAAAGTAAAAGCCTTCCATTTGGCTCTGGGTAGAACAAGCTGTATGATCATATCTATACATACATATGTATATATATGACAGTGTCTGCCTCTTTCTAGAGAGCAGTTGCACCTTAGAAAGGCTGATCTCACAGGAGATCCTAGAGCACTGCTAGGCTTCCTGGCACGCAGCCCTCAGCCCAAGGCTCAGCATCCTGGAGCGAAACGGATTCAGCAGAATTGCAGTCCGCTAGGGACAAGTGCTGATAAGCATGACAGGAGTGTCCAACGTGTTCCCTACAAAGCCTGGCTACTAGCACCCAGAGGAAGATTAGATTAGGGTAGCCCCTTTTCACATGGCACACTACTCTGCCTTTTGCATTAATCCTAAACCCCAAGGGCTGAAGAGGTGGAGCAAGAGTGACCCGAGGCTACAAGATGACAGGCTTTACCCTGAAGAGGTCTATGGACTCAGCTCCCACCTTGCAGAGAAGCAGAGGTCTAAAGATGCTCATCCAATGGAAGGGAAGGAGTCACAGGAAGAGCTTAATATTGACTGGTTCAAATGCCACTGCAGGCCCCATCCCAGTGTATGGAAGAGAAGGGAACAGGACCCGTAAGGGGCTTTATTCAGACAATGCTTGTGGAGGCAGTGACAAGGAGAATCTAATGTGCTTACTATGAGGAGAGACAAATTAAAAGGTAGGGGAGGAGATGGTTGCAGCATCCCAGGCTCAGGGTTCAAAGAGTACATTGAAGCCCTCTCCATCCTCGTTTTCTAGCACATCTGTCTCCAGTGATGGCTTCACCTTTTTGAAGAGAGACGGAAGGTTTCGGATATGAACCTCCTTGCGGAACTGCTCCCCAATGGGCTTCTGCAGAGGACAGACAGGCAGGCATCAATCACTTCTGTCTTCATACCCCCACACAGCTCAGGGGCAGCTTGCTTGCACATCAGAGGCAGAGCCCAGGTTCTGAGTAATCCCTAGGCCCGGACCCTGTGCTTGCATTTTGAGGAATTTCAGGCCTGGCCTGAGGTAACCTTTAGAATACCAGCTCCCCAGCTTCTAATTCAATGTCAAAGGCTCTATCACCACCATCCTCACAGAAGTCCAATGTCCACCCAGCAGCTTCAACCAAACATTTTAACACCGTTTCCCCGGGCACCCTTGCGCAAGGTACCCATCTGCTGCCTCTCAGTGAGAGGCCATTGCTGGAGGGGCTGCCCAGGACCTCCAGGGTGAAGAGAACAAGCACTAAGAACATGCTGCAACAGCCTCCTGGCTGGGAAGGGGGGTGGTTGATGAGAGGAGGCAGGCTGGCTACCCCATCACTTCTGCAGCATACAGCTGTGAAATATTCCTCCAGGATATCACTTACCCCAATGCAACCTGAGATGAGGCGCTTGAAGTGATCCTTCCGGCGCTTGTCTGCCACTTTTTGCAGTGTTGGGTTGAGAAGCTTTGAATCAAACTGCTCCAAAGAGTCCAGCTGGATGTCTGGGACCTGCTCCATCACTGCCTTCAGCTCCCCATAGCGAGGGCGCTGCATGGAGAAGTACCATTAACACAGCTCTGCCACAGTAACAGCCTGGCCCTCACTGGGGCCAGTAACTCCTCTGCCCCTACCCACTAGGCATGGGATCACTTTTCACCATTCCCCTCACATTCCTCAACCTCACATTTGGATGAAGAACAGAATTTCTCACCAAGGCCTCGTAGATCTGGAAAGCCAAGTGGACAAGAGCTGCCATGCAGCCATCGTGCTGCCCATGCACCTGCAAGCCCTTGAGCACACTTGTGAAAAACCAGGACACAGCATCGGGAAGGAGGTTTCCTGGAAGCACCTGAGGAAGAAGCACTGTCAGCACTGAAGCAAGATACTGGTACATAACCACCTTTCTGCAACAGCTTGCTCTTCCTGAGGGAGAAGGTGCCCAGGGGTGAAGCAGCCACATCTCTCACAACATTGAGAGCTTTCTCTTCCAACCCTGCCAGAACTAATCCCTTCTTCCTCCCAGAGGTACCTGTTTGAGCAGTGGCCAGCAAAGCTGTGTTGTGGTTCTTTGGCAGGACAAGGTATCCTTCCAGGACAGGGATGTGTAGGCAGTGATCAGCACTGCAGTGCAGACATCCTGAAAAGGAGCCAGAGAGGAAAATCAGTCAGAGGAACTATTTTCTACTTCCAGCATTCAAACCTGATGGGAGCCAAGAAGCAATCCAGAGAATGTGCAGGAGCTTCTGAGAATCCTGCATGTTACTGTTGCTCTAGCGAAAGGTGTTCACCCAGTGTACACCATCAGAACCATGAGGGACCAGTGTTAAGTTAACCTGCTCCCTTCATCTCCCTGGGAAAGACCCTGGAGCACTCATGGACTCCCATCAGCTGCTACTCTCAAGTCACTACAAAAGCTTCTACAAGAGCTTCTGAGGCATCCACAGCAGAGAGTACAGGAAAAAAAAAGCTGGATGAAAACTGGGCCCCAGGATGAAGGCAGAGCCAGGGAGCACCCTGAGGGCTGAATATCCAGGGCCTCTTCCCCAGAAGGGATGGAACTCTGTAGCTGTGTGTTATAACTGGATCCCAACCCCATGTGCTTTGTGGCCTCTGCAAGGCCCTTAGAAACCATACATGTTCCTAACACTCCAGCAGCCTAGATCTCTGCAGCAGTGTCTGGCTGCAGAGCAGACAAGTGTGACAAAGAGTACAGAGAAAGGATGGTGGCAGTCAGAGCACACCCTCTTACCTCTTGCTTCATCAGACACTTGCCAAGCTCGGTGAGCTCTGCGTTGGCAGGGGGAGTCACCTCCGTGGCCATCGCCTCATCATCTGCAGAGCAAAGGCTGCACTGTCAATGTGGCCTCCAAAGGACTGAGGGAGGCTGCAAGAACTAAGCTGGGAGCCAGGAGACAGCACACATAATCAGTGTCCTGGCACAGCTTACCCAGGACATCTCTTTTCAAGCAAAAAGCACCCACCCTTGGTGGGGCAGGAGGGGCATGCAACTGGCTACCTTCAGCTCTTGGGAAAGTGTTCACATCCCCCTCTGCTCCTCAGCCCACTTCTCAGAACCTTAAGAGCCAGCTGCTCCAATATGGCACCTGTGAACCCTGCAGCACATTCATTTCAAGGCTAGACTGGGTTTTTCTATGGCTCCCAGGCATGCTGGGCAGGACAGAGCTGAAGGCTTCTTTCCAAGCCTATACCCCTGATGCAAAACTTCCAGCATCATCCCAGCCTCCCGCTCAAGAAACAGGAAAGGAACAGTGTTGGTGTGCACCAAGGGCAGGAAAGGCAAAGGTAGGCATTTACTTACCATCTCCATCTACAGCAGCAGTAGTGTTCTGTTCAACACCTTTCTTAGAAACACAGCAAACAGCTGCAAAAACAGTTGCAGGTCAGAGGAGCAGAAAAGGGAAGATGCTACTGCAGAACATGCAGAGATTATCCTACAGACTCTGATGGGCTCACAGCTGCTTCAAGCTCCCCCAGCTCTTACAGGTAATCTGAAGAATCAGAAACCCCAGTATAAAAGCTCAGTACTGCACTACCTGGAAGGCTGTAACACCCCACCCACAGTACCTCCCCACAGTGGGAGGGCTTGCTTCCTACTACTGAGAACCAGGAACGTGCAAAACCATCTGAAACCCATAACCCAAGAAGAACACTGACTTAAAGCAAAAAGCCCAGTCAAGAAAGGAGACAGAAGATTGAGATCTGTAATCTCCATGGAATCAATTTCCCCAGCCTTCCTGTACAAAGCCACGCTGACACAAAAATTCTGTTGGAGAAGGGGAACAGAAGGAAGACTGCTCTGGGGGACAGACTCCTCCCTTATGTCTGGTTAGACACATGGCAACTGCCAGCAACAAAACTGCTCTACACTTGGCTTGTCCACAAATCCATGTCCCATACAGGGTTCCAAAGCACAGACTGGGAGAACCCAATTCTCTGCAGGACTGGATTCCTACGGGAATGTTGCCAAAACCATGGAGCCCTAAAAGCTAAAAAATGGAAGAATATATCTTCTGAAGGTTTTCAATTATCTAAAACTAGGTTTTAGCAAAGATTTTGGCAGGGCTGTATCACATCTGCATTCTCATGGTTATTTTACATTCTACTGATGGTTATAATTAAGTTTACTGCACATTGGGAATTCCTGTTGTCCACTCCAGGGAAAACTTCCCAAATATCTCAGAAGATTTAATCTGATTTCACTTACTGGCAAGATCCATGACTTCTCGAGTCAGCAGCCTGACCAGCTGTTCCTCAAGCATCTCCTGAGACTCAGGGTTCTCATCTGCAGCATCATCCTCACTGAGGAGAACAGGTTTTAGTTTGACAGGAGCCAATGTCTTTAAGTACCCCTCCACCCTAACACGGGGAAGGAGTCACCAGTGTGTCTTCCAGCCCTTGCTAGCAGGGCTGCCCCTGGGCAAAGGGCCACATAAAAGACCCCATTTCCCTCTTTGTACCAAGGGATAGAAGCTTACCAGAGCATGCTTCGCTGGTTGATCACCTGCCATTTCTGGGACAACCTCTGTTCAAGACAGAAGGAAAGGTTAAATCTGGACACAATGCAAAGAGACCCAAGCAATATCTGCTGGCAGAAGCACAAGAGCTTTAAATGTCATTTTCAACGGCAGGAGAACTGGTACCAAGTGTGCTGGAATGTGGATGAGCTGTCATGAAAATGAGAGGACATGCAAAAAAACCCCATAAACAAACCCAAAAACTATCAGGGCTGCAGGTTGAGGAGTTCATTCCACAGGTTTGAACTGACAGCATGGGATGCTGTGCAACAGCCAGGGCTCAATACACTTTAAAGGCCCCTCTAAACATCATCAAAATCATTAAGCATCAAAGCTCTGCCCTCGTCTCTGCTGGCTCTGTAGAGACAGACATTCCCACATGTTGCTGCCAGCTGCTACAGGAGTCAGGGCTGCCAAGGAACAGGCACTGAACAAGCTATTTCTTACCATGTGCAGATAGGTGAAGAGTGGTCCCAGCATGGGGCAGACAAGGGTTTCGTAGTATTCTGCAGGGCAGGAAAGTACCAAGGGCTTCACAAACACACCTGCACACACCAGTTAAGGAAGAGATCCAACACAGCCAGCTGTGCCCAAGGCAGCCCATTCCACTGGGAGGCCAAGGGACAGGCACTTGGAAGCCCACCTTCTCACAGCTCTGAATTAACAAGTGGCTTCTCTAAACAGCAAGAACATCAGTTATTCAGCTCTTTCCCTGAGAGTTCAGCTGAGAAAGTTAAAGGTGCTTAGCACCCACTTCCCAGCTGAAATGAAAGCAGGTTGGGAAACCCACATGATCTCCCAGAGAAGCACATCCTAATGTCAAGCTCCTCACTATCCAAGCCTCCTTGCCCCTCAGAAGGCACTACTCACCTCTCACAGTGCCTCCAGAACCACACAAATCCTTGGCATTTATTCTGACCCCACACACTGCTCGTTCCGCTCGTGCCCTCCTAGCATCACACCTCACCCACACCAGGTGTATCCCTGTTTGTTTGCCTCCTCAATCACCCTTCTTTGTCTTGACCATACTGAAAACAATGCAGGGTTTAAATTTATGTCTTCAGAGCCTCCCAAGCTGGCCTGAGACAGTGATGGAAGGATACGGAGCATGGGCCGCAGTCTGTAATCAGGAATGTTGTTGAGGTTGTTGAAAGCAGAGCTGAGGAGCTGGGTGGCAAGACCCTCAACAGTGTAGAAATCCTGTTGCATGGAGGGGCCTGCATTTCCCAGGATGTGAAAACTTCAACAAAAAACAAGTTAGTTACTCGTCTGCCAGATAACAAGTATCCTGTCTCTGATCTGCAAAGGCTACAAGTACTATCATCTTGAGACTACACAGTTGTCACATTCCTAAACAAATACTACAGAGGAATTTCAGCACAGCATCTCTTTTTCTGGGATACCTGCAGAGGGACAATGAATGAAGCATTTAAGTACTACAAGGTGCTTTCAAGTGCTGATGTACCCTGACACATAATGAGGAGTGGCAAAAGAGACAAACTAGATCAGGATATCAGGTAAGCGCTCCAATCTGACTACCTAACTGCAGAAGAGCTAAAAGCAGATCACCATTTTGAGGTACTTTTTCCAGACTGTTCCATGTCTGTGTAGCAGGTTACAACCACTGTATATATGCCACCACTGCAGCTTGTACTTGGGTATTGCAAGATACAGCTCACATCAAAGGTCTACTCTAAAGGAAGCTAGGACCCCACAACAACCTGCTGCTCTGGCTGTGCAGGGCTGCATTGTGCTGAGATGTGGTGCTCTTACCAGTTGTCATAGAGGGTACAAAAGAAGCCCTGCATCCTTTCTAAGACTGTTTTGTAAACAGGAGAGTCATAAAGCTCCAACAAAGGCTGAGGGAGACCTGTGGGAAGGAATAAGCTTCAGTTACATTGATGAGAGAGCACGGTGCACCTTCAGAGCATGATGGGCAGGCCCCAGCCAGCTTGGCAACAGCAAGGGAAGCTCTTGGCAAGAGCCAAATACGAAGTGGTGCAGCAACCCTGGGGCAGAAAAATCAGAGGTCAGCCAGGTTCAGGCTGGTTGCACCCAGAGCAGAGGTGTTTCCACTGAGGTGGTTGCAGCTGCCTTGTTTCTCTGAAGTAGAACTTGCTTGAGCTGTCAGAACCCAGTCAGCAGCAAAGCTGACAGTTGTTGCAGCTCCTCTAATAGTTCATCTCTCCAGGTTTGTATTCTTTGCCAGGATACACGCTACTGTTGAACTATGATATTAAAAAGTTGAGAGCAGAGATCATGGCCCAGCTGCTTTATGTGCAGGGGCCACCCACTTCTGCTTGGCTGCAAAGGTTTCCGTGTTCACAAGCTCAAACCTGTTTTAAGAAGGCTCCAAAGGCCTCTTTCTAATATGCTGTCTAGAAACAAAAGCCAGGGCCACACTGCACAACTTGGCTCTTGCCCTCCAGGACAGGTCTCTGCAGCAGCACTCAGGGCTCCTTCTCAGCAATAATTCTGCTCAAAGGCAGACAATTACAGCACCCTCCAGCCTCTGCAGCCTGAAATGCCATGTTGCAGAGACCACCATCACCCCACAGATGGGATAAGCAGTTTGGTAGTGTACCCTACAATGCATACAGAAGAAACCAATGTGTCTGAGACCAGTAACTTATTTATATCTTAGTTTCAGCTGGTTCAAATCACAGCTGAGCTGCAAATACTATGAAGAAGCTCCAGCCCTATTTCACTTCCACTGTTATGGACAGATCACTAACTCAAATATCTCTAAAAATCTGCCCACACATTCCTCCTGAAGAGAAACCTCTTACCTAGAATGGCATTCTTCTCCACCTCCAGCATGTCCAAGGCCTTTGCAAATGTATCCCCCAGCCTGGCCACCATCTCTGGCGTGTAGAGGCTGTTGTGAGTCCTGAAACAGAAGAGCACTTGGTTTATACTCATGTAAATCAACCCCTTTTTGCCCTTGACAGTGGAATCCTCTCCTTCAGCTTGTGGACAGCTCTTCTGAGGCAGATGATGAGGAAGGTGAGACCACGCACATGTGCATGGGATCCCCCTTCCCCACCTGCAAAAATATTGGGGAAGCTGACCCAACAGAGACATGGAGTGACACCACCTCATGTCCTGAATCTCCTGGCTGCCCCTTCCACTTATTTCAGTTCATCCCACCCCTTGCAAGCACCGGCAGCAAAAACTCCCAGCAATTCTCCAGATGATGCTGAGAACAACTTATTAGCTTGGCCAAAGGGATCCGAGAATGTATTTTTAAAACTGACAAGACACGGATTCTGTCATCTCAAAAGGTCTTCTGCACCTAAGGCCCCTGCAGAGGGAGGGGTTGCTTCAGCTCCAAAATACACACACTGCCCCTCAGGGATGGGTCACAGCCCCCAGAATGGCAGGTGGGATTGGAGAGACTCTAGTGAGAACATCAGTCTGATGAGATGTTACTCATGGCAGGCACACCTGCCCCCTGGACAACACATCCAGCTGGGAACAGTTCCAAATCATAGGAAGTGGCCACTGTCAGCTGTCTGCAAGGGCCACCAATTCAGCCATGGGTGGCTGCTTCTTGCCATCCAGGCCAAAATGGGTCCCCTCTCTCAGCCAGGGTACTGACACTCAGAGCTGGACTCGGCAGGGGTGTCTCTCTCACCTACCTCTCTCCTTTGAGATCTCAGACCTCCACTCTGGGTGTCGCCAGCTGCACACAGCACAAATCCTGCAGCCTCCTCCAAAACTGCAATGCCATTGTACCTGCTGCTAGAGGTGATCAAGGGCAACTCAGTATCTCCCCCTCAGCAGCGTTTCCCAAAGCAGGGGGTACATGGGAATGGCTGGGGGAAGGGAGGGTGGACAGACCTCAGGATGTTCTCCAGAGTCTCAGCTTTCACTCATGTAGTAATTGTTGGGTTTTGGGTTTTTTTTTAAAGGTCTATGTTCATCATTCTGGCAACTGCGATGCAGTGATGTCTGCCTGCCTTTGCAGAAAGCTCCAAAACCACAGCTAGCCTGTTTCTCTCTGCAAGTGTTAAATACTCCCCTGCTCACTGCACATGAGGAAGGCAAGTATGTGAACTTCATGAGAAAGAGCTATAGAAATGACTTCTTAATGACTCATACTCTCATTCTGGGCTGGATCTTATACCATGCAACAGGCCTCAAAGGGGCACAAGCTGATTCTGCTTTACCAAAAAGGGCTAAGGAACAGCCCAGCTTCCACACTGGTTAATGCTGCCCCACTGACTCAAAAAGCTGTACATTTCTGCTTGAGGCTATCCTGAAACCTAGCCACTAAAATAATCTCTTGTATGTCTCCTGTCCACTCCATGTCAGTGTTGGCTTTGCCTCATGCTGGGCAGAAGGCAGGTGGGGCAAATGCAGGGACTGCAATTGCAAAGGTGAACCCTGAAATCACAGAGCACTAACTCCAGCAGGACAGGCCAGACAGCCATATCCTGGAGGTCATGGTCCTTAGTTGTTCCAGAGTCCTTGAAGCGTTTTCTTAAGTCGGAGAGTTGGGAGGCAGATGCCCACTTACAGGGCAAGCTCTCTTAATACTTTAGCAAGTTCCCAGTAGGAATGGAGAGAAAATGGCCAACCACCCACTCCCTATGGGAGTTAAAAAGGCATCCAACAGCCCTCATGTATGATGATGTAGCCCCTAGGCATGTTCCAGCTGAGACTTATCAGCACTCCTGGGCACCCCACACACAGGACAACAAACTAATTTCAAGAGACATTTATGCTTTAAAAAAGACAAGCAAAGGATATGGCAGGACTTGGGGAATTTTCAGTGATGGTCACAGCTCTGCTAGAAAGAGTATCTGATGCCTAGAGAGAACAGCTTCTAAACCAGAAGATGAGTCCTTTAGGACAGTCCATGACTGAAGAATCTTTTTCCAAAGTTGTCTACAATGAAAATGCCTACAGCATCCATGTCTACCCAAGAATTCTTTCACCAGCATTAATGCTTTAGCAATGTCAGCATTTCATCATCAGGAGTTCCAAAAAAGCCTTTGTCTAAGTAAAGCATTTGCTGAGCCTGAGCACTTAATTTGCAACAAAACATGAGCAAAATCCCAGCACAATAAAGGCTCTGCACCAATCAGGTCATGCAGCTACTGACTGTAGAAATACACCAAGGTGGCTGAAAATCATGATTTGGGTTTAAATTCAGGAGTGAACATTTTAAGCCAGAAGCTAGAAAACACCTAAATGAAATGAGGTGCCACAGAGGACAGGAGAATCTTACTCTGAAAACTGCAAGCAGTGATTAATAAAGCAACCTCAAAATAATTCATTTAACACAGCTACCAACACAGATACAAATACAGGTAGGCACAATAAGATGCCACTCAAAGCTACTTTATTATTCCATTACCTGGACTACCTCGTTCTTCTCAGTTTGATCTCACCCATGACCTCCCTTCAGGCTACTTACCACCCTGGCAAAGGCCCAATGGCTTAACAGCTTCACTGCCTCTGTCTGCTAACACAGCAGCAGAATGCCACACACTACCCAGAGAGCACCTGCTCAGCCTGGAAACCCCCTCTGTTAGCACACTGGTGCCTGACTTGGTGCCCAGTCCAGCTGCTCAGCAGGATCCATGCTACTGCTACTTGCACATCTGCTCACACAGAACCCACACAGCCTGCAGGGACTTCCATACCTCTGTCCCAGGGTTGCACATGGGCAACACTGGATGCTGCTTATCCATACAGAAAGGTGCCTCATGGCACAGATCTCAGAGAAGCATCCATCCCCAGGTAGTAATGTAACTACATCCCTGAAGCATCCTAAAAACAGGCAGCTTTCCTGCCAGGCAGCCTTCCTCATATCCCCATACCTCCTGCCTGCTGACAGGCAGCTACAGATTCCATATTCTCCTGTGTGATCCATATTAAAGAGGGCTTGAGGACCACATACATGGAAAAAGCACCTGAAGTCAGCAAAGAACACAACAGGATCTCCACAGCACAAGATCCAGCTTTGCCAAAAAGATTTAAGCATCATCATCAACACTTGCACTGAACAACTAGGAGCTTGCAGTTGTCAAAGAGAGGCCTATATATCCAACAGCAGCAATGGAAAAATATGAAGCATAAAGATCCACTGTTCTGAATACATCATTCATTAGTTCCCGTTGGAGCATCCAGCTTAAGAAAAGCCCAGATGCCTCTGGGTGAAGTACAGGTTACTATCATGTATACAGAAAATATTTTGGTCTGCAGGTGAGATGCTTGAACAACACAGATGCATTATCTTAAAAAAAGCCCAAACCAGCCATGGAGCCTCTTTATATCCTGGATAGAGAACATAGCTCCTGTGTTCTTTTGGAGGTGCTAAAATCCAGGCACAGAGTTTCTGCTTCTTCACAGAAGTGGTGACAGAAGTCGGATGACAGTTTCCTAAGCTTGTTGCAACAGAGATCCCAAGTGATTTTACTGAGGCACAAGTTCTGAGAGGAAGAGTGACTGCACAAGGAAAAAATGTCTGTTGTAGCCTGTTCAGACCTTGGGCACTGGTTTAGTTGCTCTCACACAATATGACACATGGCAGGCACTGGAAGAAATGGCATGAGGCTACCACTAATCAGGACAACTCTACTCTACCTAACCTCTCCCAAAAGCTCATCAATAGGATCTTCAGCCTTCCAGGATAAAAGGCAAAAACACTTCAAGCACAATTCTGTAGGTCTACCTGGTCACTGGCCAAAGTACCACGCACTGTGCTACAGAGGATGAGGAACACTGCCAGTGTGGGCCAAGACAGCATGTGCTTGTCCCAACAGTCCAGCATGTTGCTTCTTTCAGGAAGCAGCACATTCCTGAGCTCAATGACTACTGAACATAATTGACTAGACAGAGCTCAGGCAACAGAGCCCCTTCCCTTACAAACCCAGGAGTTGAAAAATCTAAGTGGATCTGAAAACACTTTTTCTCAAAAGGCCCCTGCCAAGGAGAGAGCAGCGAGTTTTCAAGTATGTAACATGTTATCTCACAAAATTGTCCCATAAGTCTGGCAAACTCCCAGAGTCAGGAGTTGCCCTGAGAGAGACTTCTCCTTTGTAATTCTGGAAACTATGCTCTTCAGGATTTCCCTTTTCTGCCTTCTCTTGCTGCCCCAGACTGACACACCACTGGTGACATGCAGAGAGGCACTGCATGGTAGCAACAGCCTGAGAGTATGCATCCACTGATTCCAAGAGCAGACAGTGCTTCAGGAGGCTGCTGCTCATGGTCAGCCAAGCCAGCTTAATTTAACACTGAAGAGAGAACAACGCAAGCGGATGCGATGAGAGCTGGGACTGCCCTGGCGGTGACGGGAGAGGTGGCCTTGTAGGGGCTGAGGGCAGAGCAGAGATGTTAGCTGAGAAATCATTAACTGGGGGGTAGAACTACAGCAGTGGCTCCCATTAGCTTTGATGGCTCCTGCAGGCCAGGCCAATGAACACTCAGAAGGCTCCAGTTTGCACAGTGCCATTCCCCACTGTGAGCAGTCAGGAACAGTACTTGGGCACTGACACCAGCACTATTCCCACTGGCTTCACTGGGCAAACCATGCTCTGAGCATTCCACTTATTTATCACAGGTTGGCTTTCAGAGCCAACATAAATGATTTCAAATCAACTTGACCCACCTTATGAGAGCAAGTAAATTGTCAAAAAGCTTCAGGACCTGCTCAGTGCAGGGATTACGGTACATTGGAGTTCCACTGGGCAGGTATCCCAAAAAGAATCCTCCAGCTTTTGCCTCTTCAGTAGCAGCAGGCCAACGAGCTCGTTTCACGACTCCCAGAATAGTGTACACACAAAAGCTTATCTGCAGCAAGAGATGTGGAGAAAGGATTTCTTAGCCAAATCACAGTCTGAATCAACAGGCTTTCAGAGAAACACACCATTGTCCCATCTCAAAGGGAATGTTCCAGAATGAGCCTAACTGGGTGATAGGAACAAACTCTGGTGAGTTTGCTGCCAGGAAAATGCAGCAAATGATCATGCTGTACTCCATCACCTTCAGAGAGCCCTGGCCATGGCAGGATGGCCTAGGAATTCACTATCAGACAAAGCACCAATGCATACCATCTCAAGAGCATGCAAGCAGCGAGGCAGGCTGCTAAAATTAAGGGTCTAGACCATCAGTTCCTCGTGTCCTTCATGAGGGAAGATGCAGTGCTGGGACAGATACAGGTTCTGAGATGACAGAACTGCATTAGCCCCAAATCACTCTATGGACTACATTTCAGTGTCTTCTACAGATCTGAGGACAGCAACTCCATTTGCTGTTCAAGTGAAGACTTTACACTAAAAATTCAACACAAATCTCCTCAGATGAATTTAATTATATTCTGTGCTCCAGTCTGAGCACAATGTTTTCCATACTGCCTGGTTTAAAAAGCACAATTCACTGTGCCATATTTCTAAAAATCATGCAAATGAATTGCTTCTCCAAAAAGCAAACTCTATTATAAGCAAAGAGCAGAAAACAGTCTGCTTCACTCTGATAAATAATGTCATTTTGCATGGCCTGAATGCTCTTTATTGTAGTTAGAAGAGCAAAGGCCAGCCTGTTGTTCTGCAATCTAAAGAAGTACATGATCAGGAGACGTGTGCAATCACAAGAGAAATGGGGATGGAAGGAGGCAGGTCTCCTTTCATTAAGGATTACACCTCTCCTGGTAATGATACTCACTCTAGACCGGTTCAGGCCACTAGGATCTTCCAACACTGGATCAGCAATTTTGTTGTCTGCACCCACGTAGGATATAAAGGCTTCAGGATCTGAGAGGACTCTGGCAGCAGCAGAAGACAGCAATGGGATTATTGTTTGTACCAGACAATTTAAGCAGAGCTTTGCACTGGCAATGAACACCTCACAAATACAGAGCAGGCTAGAGAGCCTAGGTAGCACTCCATCCTGTACATGGGAACATGCCTAAAAAGCATCAGAGATGGGTATACTCTCCAAACATTATCAGTTCTCTTGGGCTGTGGACATCTAAAAGATTCAAATCTCTTATGAAGATAGCCCTGCTGGGAAAACTCTTGTGCAAGCCCAGCTACCCAGAGCTGCAAGACATCTCAGTTTTAATAAGAACTCGGCTTCTTCACTTCTCCTGGTGATGAGCAAGGATGTCTTTTATTTCTTATTTTCTGCAAATGCTTTGAGCATGCTGGGGAATGTTCCTTCATTACCTTAAGCAACTCTTACCCAGAAATTTTCAGCAAACAGCATTTAGTCTGTTGGCAGTTTCTGAACTGCAGAACTATTATCACAATCACTGCCCTTAGCAGAGGAGGTCAAGAGGCAGCCCACCACCCTCCTATGGTTTGTGTGTTTCCTTACTGGGCAGGGCATTACCTCTTCAACACCTGCAGCTCTAAGCTGGAGAAGAAATGACCAACAGAAAGAAAAGTAACCCATACCTCTGCATCTCTGGGGAGAGCCATAAGCCAGCCACAGGAGCCATGAGCTCCTCCAGGAAAGCCTTCTGTCGCTCATAGTCTTTAAACTGGTTGCTGATGAGGACAAGGGCCTCCATAAGAGCACACTTTTCCATCTGTGTCAGAAGGAGCTCATTTGACAGCAGCTGTTTCACGTGGTTGTACAACATCTCAAAGTTTGGCTAGAAAACACATCCAAGTGGAAAAGCATCATGCATCTGGTATGGAGGAGGGCCATGGGGGAGGTAGAGAAGGGGTGTCCTGTACAGCTGGAGAAGAATGGCTGTTACCTTTTCTCAACATAGCCATCTCCTCCTCACACTCAAATTTCTCTGCATGTTCAGTCTAAGAGAACTTCCATTTTTCCCTACCCCTCTATCATTATCCTGCATTTATTTTACTTTAACTCTCCAGAATGATTGAAATAAGAGGAAATCTCTCCCTAGGCAGTTCTATCCCTTACAGCAGTGTCACACCTCAAAACAGTTCTGATGCTTTTATTTGCTCACAGTAAGCACCTTGCTTCTTTGGCCAGACTCAGGATTCATCCATCTCTTTACTTGTGGTAAGTAACAACTCATATGGTTACAATGAGTGCCACAGGAATTCTTGCACTTCTTCCCTTCCTTCTCCAGTTGCCACCATATCTATCCGTAATTTTGTACAAACATTAGCAATCATCCTCTTCAGCAAACTCCTCTGAACATCTTTTGGGGCAACTCTGGGTCCTTGGCTCTTCTACTGAGGATGTTTGGGAAAGAGACAGTTATAGCTCAAGGACCAATAAAGTGGAACAAAAACCAACCCATTAGTTCTTAGCACCAATTACAGAATGCAGACTGGAACCTCTAAATTACCTTAATTAACATGCTTTAAAAATGTCTTTGTTTAAACTAGCAATGTCCTATGGTCTTCCCATAATCCTAGGTCCCACTCCACAGAAACACATCTAAAGATTGTTGGATGCAGAGACTGTTTACTTCAGAAAAATGAACAAAACAACAGCTCATGGAATTTAAACGTATTTGTCTTCTAATATTCTCAAGCTCGTCCAGAAAACAAATGCTCCCCTTTTTTTCCTATATTATTTTAAGTAACAGAAGAAAATATAGTGATTAGCTATGCTAGTCTTCAGCTAAGGAATTAACTGAGACCAACACAGGTGATAACATGGACATTCAGCAAACATTCCCATAAAACCAATGCAGTGCTGCTTGTATCACCCCTTTCACATTTAACCCACCAATCTACAATTCAACTCCTCAGGCAGAAAATTTTTCAGTGGGGAAGAAAAGAGGTACAGGGAATGAACCACTTTGCCATTTGTGCAGGAGGAATGTCTCCTGCAAAGAAAGCAGAGACTGTAGCCAAGGAAGTTGAAGATCCCACAAAATCCAACTGAAACTGAGGCCAAGACTCTTTGTGACAGCTGCATTTACATACCAGGACAAGCTGAGGGTAATCCCGGCACATCTTTATGATTGAGGAGCACGCATGCCTTCTGACATTCTTCACTGCTCGAGTTCTAGGAGCCTGGACAGACACAACAAACTTCAATGCAACAAAACAAAAGTTCAGCCAAATGCAGGGTATCTTCAAGAGACAAATTCATTACATATAAATTTCTGCACTGTTGAGCATAGATCAAAAAAACATCTCCATGCCTGCCCTGCTCCCTCCAAACAATCATGCAGCAACCAAATTTCCTCTGAAGCAGTAGTCAATTCAAGCAGTCCATGTTTAAACAAGCTGTACTTCAGGAGTGAGGATGCCATAGCTCTTACTCACTACTTCAAGACTCCAGGCACTCCTTAGGTAACTGGCAGGTTTAATGCCATCCTTCAGAGCTATTTATGCCAAGTACTGAAAGAATACCGAGAGCTAATGAAGGGATTTCACTCTCAGGAAGGCCAGCACTGACTGGGGAACTAAGTGCACTGGCCTTAGAGCACACCTGTGCCCTTCTAAGTTTGTGAGCCAAAGCTTAGTAGGCTATGTCAACCACAGAGATCAGCAATACCTAGACCCCCCAGCTTTTTCAGGAGCAGAACTATACTTGAGAAGCCTACTTCAGCAGAGTCTTCAGACTCAGGATGCTCTCTCCACTAGAATAAGATTTGATCCAACTGTTACAACTCATTAGTAGATAATAACTCAGACGTACCTTACTTTCTTCTACAACTTCAAAGGTAACAGAAGCAAATAGCTGTGAGAAAAGGGAGGAAAAATTAAAAAAACTGTATCATTTGTTAATATTTAGAACTCATGTCTCTTTGAGCTCAAGGAACAAGTAATAAGGATTTTAATGCAATTTCACTGAAGTCAGTGAAGAACCCCTGAGTGAGCTGAAATATGAATCATCAATACAGTGAGGCCTTGAAATAAAACATGGCCAGAGCATGTAATTAATACTAAGATTTAAGGGTAAAAACTACAAAATTTGGGTTAATTGACATTACTCTTCTTGTGACAAGCCTCAGTCTTGGTTTCTCCCATCTTTAACATGAAGAACAGTCCTTCCCTGACAGCAGCATCGAGAGGATTGACTCCTGCAGTTTAGTCCAAGAGCCCTGCACCACAATAAGCTGATATGATTTTAGCAGGGTCTGCATGTACCTACCTTGGAAAGTACTTGGGGGAGGTATTCTGGTCGGTAAGTGACAAACGGAAAGAGAGCAGAGACATTGGTGAGCACACAAGACAGGATCAGAGGATCTTTTGTTTCAAAATTAAGGACAAGCTGCAGCAGATCTATGCCATCATTCACAGGGATTTCCTACAAAGATAGCAAAAAGAAAGGGAAGAAAAAGGGAGGCAACACTCAATACTTCAACCTCCAGCATACTTCCTACAAAACCTAGGAAAAAGGCAGCAGCATCGCCACTGTTGATAGGACACTCTGGAGACATCAGTCTCTAGTCTGTTATACTATTGCTTACACCTCTAGGAAAGGCAAATTTCCTCTCTCAGGCTGTCTCCCAATTCTCCTCTTGACATTGTCCAACAGATTTCAAGCTTAACCAACTGTATTGACCTATATAATTACTCTACTGTGATTAGATTGATGAGTATATGAGCAGTTTAATCTAATAAAAAAATCAAGTCAGTCTACATCAAACTGATCCTTCTGATGCTGTTGAACAAGAGAGAGGAAATTATCTCCTACTCCCTGGGCATAGTTTCTCTCATTTACTTAGAAATAAAAAGAGGATAATTAAATAAACTCAAGAAATTTTTCCTTAAGTAATCTCTTCTCCTCTAGCAAGGCACTATGTATAAGCATGTCACCTGAGCACTCTCCGGTGACTTCTCATCCCACAGTGTCCAAAACTAAGACAGTATGAGTTTGTTGTCATCAAAAGAAGGGTCATTATTCCTCATGAGAACGGCTCACCAAACATTCTGGGTTTTGCATGGAGGTAACCAGCTACTACAAATTGCTCAAGGATAAGAGAACTGCAAAACCCCACTGGTGTCGACCCAGAAGCAGGCAGGAGAGAAGGCAGGAGCATGGGATACACATACATCTTTATCCATGGTTCGAAACATCTGGCTGATGACGCTCTCCGAGAAGAAGGTCATGGCATCCCACTGCACAAAGGATGGAGAGAAGATGGAGCAGAGACCTTCGCCTGTCTTAGCTGAAAGGAAGAGAACCAGAGCTCTCACCATGCTCCTCAACAGCAGCCTGGTAAGTTCCTGTGCTGCAACACCTTAGCACTCACAAGTATTTTAAGCACACAGCTCTCCCTGCAGATGCCTGGCAGGGATGCACTGGGAGCAATTAAGGTAATCCCGTGTGATTTGCTTAATTCAAGTGAAGGCTCCTGAGGCATAAATCTTGGAGGTACTGTGCAGAGCAATATGACCAGATCACAGAAAGGAAAAGAAGGGAGACCACATGCCCAGACTCAGCCCTGCAGGCAAGACTGCCCTCGGTGTGACTCTGCAGAGCACCAAGCAGCCTTCCTTCAGAGCAGGGAAAGCAAAGAGAATGACAAGGAATTTGCCAGATAATTTCCCTAACAAAAGTAGTAAATACGTTACAAAGACAAAATGGCCCAAATAATTGTAAAATTGTATCAGAGGGACAGCTGTACCTGCTCTGCAGAGAGATTTGGGGGAAGGAAAGGAGAAGGGGAGGCTTTACATTACTTATTCCATATGTAGACTCCAAAGGGATAAATTAAGGAAGGGGCGGGTTTGACTTAATTTTGCTTTTAACTTGCAAAAACCTTAAAATCCTTAAAATCTACCATGGGGTCTCGGCTACCACTTAAAATATTCCAACAACATCAATAAAAAAAAGGTCAAGAAATTTCTTCTTGGCTTTAATTACAAAAACAAATCCCATATCCCTAATATTTTTCAGGTAACCTACAGTTTGTGGGTCCAGTATCAACAGGAGCTGTGAGTTGGTACTTCAGCCATTCACCAGCCATTTGGAAGCCAGTTAGAGGGTCCAGACGACAAGCCATCCTCATCACCTCTCCTTGCTGGGCTCGGAAAGCTGCAGGGAAAAAGCACACACCAAGAAACCAGCTGATGCTGCAAATTTTGCAGAGCCACGAACATTATGGACTTCTGCTTTGGCAACAGCTGTGTAGTGGGCACAGATACACAACCAGTAAAGCAGGTACAACAGGATGGGCAATTTTTGAAGTGATTTAAGCGGACTAAAAAATGACATACTAACATTAATAAAAGGTACAATTAAAATGCAGTATGAATTATGAAAATCTATGCTGATGCCTTTTCCTGGTCTTAAAAATTGAGAGCCAGACATGGTTAAAGGATAAGGGGTTTCTGCCTTGGTGTTTTAATAAGGATCCTTATTGGTGCACCACTTTGCCAAGGTGCATTGCGGCACCTTTTACCTTGCCAAGGTAAAAATCCCTTATCCCTTAACAGTGTCTGGCTTTGAGTTTTTAAGACCAGGAAAAGGCATCAATGCTCAACCAAATTTACTACAATTAAGCCTCTATTCTTCATTTAAAATATGCTTCAAACTATAAACAATTGCTGCTTACAGAGCACCTGGAAATACTGAGATTAAATACCACCATTAGATAACTATCATTTCCTTTAGCTAAACACTTTCCTAGATTATTCAACTAATGACAAACAAACTTGATCTCAAAGCCCAGTTGCCTAGTTTTCAGTTTCAAAGATACTAAAAACAAAGTACAGAACAAGAATTTCACTTGTTCCAAAATATTCCAGTGTAAGATCACACAAAAGAACCAGCTCTGCTAACTACACAAATGCAACTTGCATTGTTAATTAAAGTTGCGTTGCCAAGTAATTTTATTTTGTGTTTCAAATTAGTTATATATTCTTATATATGTAATGTCTTCAATATAACTTAACCCTCTAAAACTATTTCAGATTCTGGCTTTGTGCATTTAGCTACTTTATATTTTCTATCCAGAAGGATTTCTTACAGTAAGTAAAACTATCTAGTAAGCAATAAAAATGAAACGCTTAAAATCTTTAGACATAAATGTAAAATGTAAAAATTTATGTAATTTCTTCCGTGGATCCTCCCACCCACCAAGTTAGTATCAAATGACACCAGCCAGTGAGAACCAACTTCAGTTTTGGGAAGATGAAAGAAAAAGTAAAATCACTAATATCCAGCACTAGTTTAAGATCCTTATTAAATTAGGCTATTGCAATTGCTCAGCTCTAGCTATTGGTACTAAACCAGAAGCTTCCTACCAGGACCAAGACAGATTCTTTCTGGAATGACATCTAAAGTCTTTTGTAAGCTGCCTTCCTCTCCTAACCTGAGCATGACTTGAGGCTGTTTAATTTCCTCCTCTAGGGGACCAAAAGACACATGTGCTTTGACACCAGTATGCTATTAGGCCATCTATCTGAGCAGCCAGCAAAACAGCAAATACTAAAATTAAACACATGAGCTGCTCCAGGAAAATCCTAACTTAATTTACTCCAAGATCCAGACTTAAAAAGTTGAGAAACAAATGGAAGCTGCCAAGCCAATCTGCTAGGCTCCAAGCTCAGCCAGTGAGTAAAAGCAGGAAGGACGGACAGACAACAGAATGCAGAAAAGGTCATGGCAACTTACAGTTGAAGAAGGCATTGAAGTCCTCATCACTGTCAAAATCAAAACGGGAATATTCACAGCTGGGGCTGTCTGCTTTGGAAGGAAAGCCCACCTGGAGACAAAGTGGAAAAGGTCAGGAAAAAAAGTCAACCATCACAGCTAACACCAGCTTCAAGGAAATGAAGGCTGGAGGCAAGGAGCAAGATAACAACTGTGCTCAGCAGCCTGGAGCTCATGTTTGGCCACAACACAACAAAAATGTCATTTCTTCCCCCATGACCACAGGCCACGTTCAGCAGGCACCTTCCCAAAACCACCTGTGATTTCCACATACCTTCACGAGGTTGGTCATGGATGCACGGAGATACTTGGGAACAACAGCCAGCAACAAAGGGTCACGAGACAGAACTTCATGCCGAAAGAGGGCTCCCCATGTGATCTGGGTGGAAGAGCGCAGAAACTGGGGGAAGATGAGAGGAAAGAGAGAAGCAGAACAGGATTTCAGTGCTGGAATTTCCACTGCTAACATTAAGTGTTGCTATCAGAAAGCCACAGCAAATTATACTGACTATTAAGTTGAGGCCAAGGCACATTGAAGGCACACTGCAAATTCCCAGAAAGCCAAAAATCTTTAATACTAGGCCTGGTTGCAAATTTTGCATTTTCTACTCAGTTCTCTGTGTCAGGAAGTACTCCTGATGGTGTGGTAATGGACTAGAAAACACTCTGCCTTCCAGGCCTTCAGCTGAAATGGAAAGCCTAGAGAGCAATATTTAGCAGCTGAAGTTCTGTAGTTTTCTACAGGCTAGCTCAATTATGCATTCACACACACAGACACACATGAAATTTTCAGCCCTTTACATACCTGGCTGGGATGGGTTGTGAAGGCTAAAAATGACTCAAGGTATTTCCCAAAGTTGGCTGGCGTTTCCACATTACAATCTGAGCCCTATGAGGAACATGAAGTATTTCAGACAAAATACTAACTTTATGGCAGGCTGGGCTCACAAATGGTATGTTTCAGGGTAAAGCAGGAGCACTACATCCAAGGCCATAGACTGTAAAGGAGCAGAGACAGAAACACTGAACAACTGATTTTTTTCTGAAACCAGTATAGCCCGAGGAACATCAAGTTCTGTTGACCAGCCTGGAGGTGCTGGAGACACCACCACCCTCATTCAAGAGTAACAGGTGACTTCTCACATAGTGGAGCTCCATTAAAACCAATTTTACAACCACTGCTGCTGTCATGAGTCACAATTTCACTTCTATCGGGTCAAACCCACACAGCAGTACCAAAGTAGTACAATTCAAACCAATGATTTTCACAGGAAAATACACCCAGATAATTTCACTAAATTTCTCCAGATTTTCTCCATTTTGTGTATTTAGTATATGGGTATCCATGACCAGTAACTTTCTTGGAAGTTTGTCAGGAAATTAAGTTTTGCCCAGAGCCATAAACTCAAGGTTTTGCTTCTCAGAAATTATAACATGATCTGGTGCCCTCAAGATCCCTGAAATTGTACAGCTCAGTGCTGCCTCTCCCAAGTGAATCCGAATTAGCAAGCTCCATCTCATTACTTCATTATGGATTAACAGCTCCTACTGCCTAACAGCAAGTGGAGTCACTGCAAGCAGTAATGCACTCGGTATGCTGTCCATTCATTTTAGGGATGAATTCTCAAAGGTTGTTTTTGTTTTTTTCTTTCCCTCCCTATGAGACTTTACTTTGCTCTATCCCTTTTACAGACTGGTTGCTTCAATCTCTTCACAAATAACATCTCTCAACAAGCCTGCCCTCTTCACTGTAGAAGCACTCAGCTGAATGGAGGGAGTGGGAATTCAGCACCAGCATGGCATGAACAGTATGAATTTGCATCTTCATCCCAACATTGACACAAAGCATTACAAAGATGAACAGCAGGAACAAAACCTGTTTCTTCCTTCAGCTTCAGAGAGTCTTGGTAGAAGAACAGACAGGTCTACTCTCTGAGTTATTTTTATTGGGAAATTTAAAAGGCTTCCAATAGAAGAGTAATTTCCTGGACTAGATTTTCTGTAGCAGTAGTCAGCTAAAAACCTGACCAATTTTCAGTGAAGCTCAGCATTTTACAGAGGTTATAGGAAATGGTTCTTGATGACAGCAAAGCCCTAGCATCAATCAGGGTCCCTCCATTCTACATTCCTATGACTTGGTAGGACACAGTTAACCCACTTAAAAGCAGAGCCATTTCTGCCTTTTGGAAATGCAGGGAGAGAACCCTGGTCCTACCTTAGATCAGGGTTGCCTCAAGCCCCAGCCCTAAAAACTAGCCCTGCCAGGTTTGCTGTTGGTATTAATAAAGACTTACTAGCAACGCACATAGCTGGCTGCCCAACGCGCACAAAACTTGGCAAAGCCTCTTCAAGAAAACATAGTGCTTCTCCACCAGGCCTTCTCCATCTGCTGTCCTGGGAATGAGGGAAGGGGGAAAAACAGGATCACAGTTACTCATGCTGTAGCTGACAGGCACACTGCTGTCTATCTTGTAGACAGAAAGAGGACGAGAGCAATTTGATTTTATCACAGTGGGATTTTCTTTGCTATTATCAAGAAGTACTGCTTTATTGGCATCTAAAACCTCTGAAATTGCCTCTTTGAAAGAGTCCTTGCTCTGGATCAGCTTCAGGCTAAAACAAAGTCGGGGAGCTGTGATATTTATACCTCCTTGTCTTTCAATTATGGGTTTGGAAAAAAAAACAACCCTGGTTTTCCAGGTTTTGCAAAAGAAATGGTGGTTTTGTTCTCTCCTATCCAGTCCCTGCTTCCTTTGCTTAAGCAGCAGTATCTTTTGCACCTACAAAGCCATTTGTATGCAGTATTGTGTGAAATCACAGCAGCACTAGGGTACTCACTGGGCAGCAGAGAGGATGCAGTGCATGGCAACATCTCCAAACAAGACCATCAGAGGCTTCCGATCCTCCAGCTTACCCTACACACAAAACACAATGCATGCTTCAATTAGAACTTATTTATTCTCATCTACGTAAATATTTATTTCCATCTGCAAGCAAAATTAGGAGAGTCACAATTTTCTTTCCATCTAGGGAGGGGCTTACAGTCCACATATGATTGAAGTAAAAACTTTGCAAAATTCCAAGGTATCTGATCTAAGAAAATGTCTCCAAGCAACCCCACCACAGGAACTTTAAATGGCAAAACTGACCCTGAGACATTATCTTTTATTCACAGAAGACTGGCTAGTTATTTATAGGCAGCTGATCAACACTCAGCCTTGACACTCAGCTTCTTGTGAATGAATGGGTCAAAATCACCTGTTTAGATCCTGCTGTCATTTCTCTGAGCTGCCAGGTGACACAGCTGATGACACTATTTTCCACTTCACAGTTGTGGAAGTGGGGGGTAAAAGGTCAGTGAAGACCTCCAAGTTCAAACTGCAAGGAGAAGTGAGCACAGAACTTGGAGAGGGTTCTAAAGGCTGCTCTGTGTATAGTGCTGGCGTGACATTCACACCAAATATCTTTAACAGAATCAGCTAAATTTGAATTTTGATTCTCAGATAAAAAGGCAAAGATAGCCTTGCTCAGTCTAAAGAATTATATAGGAGAATAATAAAAGGGAGCCAGAAGAGTCAGAGAGGAAGAACTCACTTTCCTGCTGACAGCAATCAGGAGGCACTCTGCTGCTCCAACTTGGAGTTCAGGCTCATTTAGGAGCAGACACAACATCTCCAAGAGCTTGCAGTTGTCTGCTGTAATATGGCTTAGGGCTACCCAGTCAATGTAGCCAGCCAAAGTGTTGAGTGCTGCTATCCCCACACGACAGTTTGCCTGGGCCTGTGAACAGAGAGCAGGCACAAGGTCAGAGCCAGAGAAAAACAGAAATTCCCATCTAAAGCCACCCACTCCCTGAAATAACAGTACCAAGAACTCCCCTGAGAAAGTGAGAGATTTGGACCCTTCTGCCACTCCTCACTTGTCTCTTCTCAAGGGGTTTGTATTAAGTGTGAACAAATCCATCTGTGTGAAACTGCAGGCAACAACTCGAAAGCCTAGGAAAAGTCTAGTTCTAAGTAACCTAAATCTTAAGAATTACTAATGAGCTAACTCTCATGTAGCTCCACTCACCTTTGGTTCCTGAGCCAAATCAGTTTTCTGAAAAAGAAAACAAGAGAGGGTAAGTAACAGCTACAGCACACATTTCCACCCAGCCACTGCTGTACAGGCTTATCCTCAAGGACACAGCCAAAAAAGAGGCTGCATCACAGTCTCCCACTCAGAACATTGCTGCAGCCAACAGTCACCTCTGCAGCCACCAGCTAGGTAAGATAAGAGGACTCTGAATTGCCAAGTTAAGCCACAATTCCCTTCTCATCCAAAAGGTAACACTCCAGTCAGCAGGCACGAGGGAGACACAGGAGACAAGAAGGAAAGGCATTTTGGTACTTCCTGGAGATTTCCAGGAAAGAAGCTTTTGTCCTTTTAAGAGCATCTTACACCCAAAAGCCAGACTCTGAAAAGATGCTGGTGGCTTTTAAGATTCAAGTCTGAAAAGGTGTTTTGTTCATGGTCAGAAAGGCAGCTGGAGAGAGCTGGAGCAGCAACTTACAGCCTGACTCTGAGGCCTAGGACACTTAACAGCTACAATGCACTGCCTGTACCATCTTTTTGTCTAATGCAAACTAGTCCCTCAGATACTCAGTTTGATTTGGTTTTCAGTTGCAAAGACACCACAAGCATTTCTTTCTGCTGTAAGCTTTTGGTCTGGCCTATTCACTGCAGTGATGTTTTTAATCAGCTTGAGTCCCAAACACCTCATATATGACCCACCTTACAAACATGTTTATCTATTAATCCATCATACTTATAAGCACTGCACACTATTATGGGCTTGGGGACCTATCCATCATCTCCCCCAGTCTGTGTGCAGACAGGTGAACACCCAACCCTCAGAAACGACCCTGTGCACAAATAGCCCAAAGATCTGCTAACCTGTGGAGAGGTGAGGACTTCTTGTTCCTGGGGTGCTCCAACCTTGCCAATCAGAAAGATTCCACCGTTAGCGGAAGCAGCCACACTTCAGAGCCTCAAGCATTGCAATGCAAACCTTACCTGGAAATGCATTTCAACCAGACTACAAAACACACAAGGGTCACCCTCCCATCACCATGAACTGTACAGAAAACTGGCTGCTCTACAGGATAGGGGGTTGCTCTGCCTGACAGTGCATCAGGAAGGTGTACAGAACACACGGAGAAAAAGGGTTTTTCATTGCTTCCCAGTTTCACATTTAGTATAACTCTGGATTTTAATTCATGGAAAAAAAGAATACGAGATATGACTAAGCAACTAGTTTCTAGTTTGGTTTCTCAACTGTGCTTCACTCTCAAATCCACTTCCTTTTCACAGGAACAGATGGGGGTAGAGACTCCCCTTCATCATCCATTGTGACTGACCTGCACATCTCTGATTCTAGGTAAGAATTCAGGAAAGAAGTCTGTTTACACAAAAATAGAAAGAGCATTCTTCACTGCAACTTTGCAAAAAAAGGGCTTCCTGACTTGAGCTCTTGGAGAAAAGGACCAGAGGCCCAGAAACATGTTGACACATGAGAAACTCATGCATTTTGGTGCATCACCTCAAATGTAGGACTGCAGCATGAGAGAGCAGACGCGATTCCTGAATGGCATCTCTTAATCACTGTGTGTTACATAAACCATCCCAAATTACCTGTTTCTGCCACAACCACACCTTCATTTTGCTAAGCTGTACACCCCTACTGCCACCACACATTCCAACAGCATGGATGAAGCATGAATTCACTCAAGCCATTTACACTAGCAAAATCAAAGTATCAACACTAATGCTATCAGCCTTGTGTGTTCAGTCTCTCTGATCAGCACCAGTTTCCCAGGCCACAGCAGATCCCTACCTCGGAGCAGCAGCAACAGATTTCAGTTTCTGCACTTGCTTCCCCAACAATTTGCCAGCTGCATCCCAATTCCTAAATGCTTCCAGCACAAACTAAACCCAAGGGAAGGAGACTCTTACCATGAGTCTGTACTTGTTGACATTCTGCTGCAGGGCAGTTAGTAGGAAGCTGAAGATCTTTTCCATGTTCTGGGTGAGGGTTTGCTGGATATCTCGTCGCCGCTGGGTAGGTAGAGTTTGAAAAGTCACCACATCCTCTGCCAAACGTAGGAGGATGAACATCACCAGTTCTGTCTGAGTTTCCTGATGTCCCAAAGTGAAATACACTCCATCAGCACAGTCCAAACATTAAAATTTCTAGAGACTAGCTCAAAGATGTGGAGAGAAAGCAAGCATGCATGAAGATAGATGTCTCATGTTGAGAAAGTAAAACAGAAGGATGTCGCTCTCCCTGCTAGTCATCTCGAGATAGATTAATTTCACAGGGATTTTTGAGTCCATCACCAACCTGTCTCACTTGACCATGAGTGAGTTAGATTTTTCTCAGGATGGTGGAAGAATGAACCCCACCCTAAGAGCAAGCAAAAGAGACCAGACAGCTGTGTTTCATACCCCTTGCTTGGAAAGGGTATCCAGCTCCTTTAGCATGTCAGGCCAGTGCTGAGGCCACTCCCGCTTGATCATCTCCACCACAATGCGAGACAGCACATCCTTAATGTGACTTTCCTCCTCCAGGATACTTTGAGTTCCCTGTAACAGAAAGGGGACAGTTACACAAAACAGCAAGCATCAGGCATTTGTAACTCTAACCTGGGAAACAGTGTTTGCAAACATTCTAAACCACAGAAACTAAAACCAAAGCAAAACACAACACTGGGCAGCTCTTCATTGCAACTACCTTAGATGATACTCCTATGCTCCCAAGTATCCATAGCTAATAAACTCTGGGAACCAGACGGATTCGCCTCAAAAGAAGGTCCCTTGGTCATGACAGCAATCACAACAACAGAGAAAACACAACTAAGACAACGGCTTTAGTATTTTTGCAAAGGATAAGAACATTTGTAGCTACTGAATTTCCTTCTAAGAAAAGAAAAAATACTTTACATATGTTATACAAGCCTCACAATTTCCTGCCATGTGAGGTAACATAGCTGTTCACCTAACAAGACAGAGAAAAGCACTGAAAAAACTAGAGACACAAAGTGAAAAAGCAATGAAAAGAAAAACTGAATTCAGATCCTCTGTGCTAATTAACTGGAGTATTTTTTACTTTTGCTCTCACATTTCAGGGCAGCCTGAGGGAGCAGGTACTTACACTGGATATGAGGCCCATAACATTGTTCTTTAGATAAACTTTTTCTAGGCGAGGCATATTGTTCCAACGGTATCTGTTAAAAATAAACAAACAAAAAAGAAACCAAGTCAAAACATCTGTAAGGATCTCTGACTTAATTCTCAAGGAACCATTGCTTCTTTACCTAAACTAGAGACACTACCACCTCCCTGCCTCTGCCAGCACCCAATCCCTTCATGAAAGGGCTGAGTTAAAACTGCTGCTGGCAAATGGGCATGCCCCACCGAGGTCAACAGACACCAGAACCAGCAGCAAAAGCACAAAGCATCAGGTCTGTAGAGGCGGCAGAGAAAGGAATCTCAGGACTGAACTAATACAAAGCCTCTTTGTTAGCAGGAGGCCAGCGACAGACCTCTGCAAAGACCTACTGGAAACTCAGTGCTTGTTTTCATCTTTTGATGTTAACGTGTCTTACAGCTCAGTGAATTCACCTTCCCAACCTGCCGGAAAGCAAGTCTCTCTTTCTTTTACAGAATAAGAAAAAAATCCAGAGCAGGACTGCAACTGTCCTCTGCTGCAGAACAAACTCCCTGCGTCCTGAAAGTGCCTCCCGGGGGTGGGAGGTGCTGGAATGGGCACAGATCCCACGCCAGAGCTGGGTGGCGGCAGGCTAGGATCCTTCCCAAGCTTGGCGGCACGGGACGAGCTGACTTACTTGACCACATGCTCCAGGATCTGCAGGCCGAAGTGCCGGACGATGGCCGTCTGCGTCTTCTCCGCCAGCTTCAGCCCGCAGGGTACGCAGATGGGGCACTTTTCCTTGAATTCTTCGCAGAACTAGGGGAGGAGGGCCGGGAAGCGCACACGCAGTTACACACCGGGGCAGGAGGTGGCAGCCCCAGCCCTGGCAGAGCACGCCGGGCACACGCGGCCGCCCGACCCCCGCCGCCTGCTGACGGCGCCCGGCACTTCACGGGACGCCCGGGACCGACCCAGGCTCTCGCCCGCCCTGGGGCCGTGCGGACGGGGTGCCCGCGTGGCCGGAGCCCGGCGCCCTCCCTCCCTCCCTCCCTGGCCGGGCCGTACCTTGAGGGCCTCCAGGCGGTACCGCTGCGTGGACGCCGGGTCCATGATGACGGTCACGGCCTTCACCAGCTGCTCGCAGAGGCCGCTCACCTGCTCGGCGGACATGGCGGAGGCGGCGGGCGCGCGCCACCGGCCACCCACGGGAGGGACGAGCGGGGCGGCCGGGACGCAGCTCCGCGCATGCGCCTTGGGGGACACGGGGACACGGAGAGAACGCGGGCGCCGCGCACCGTCGCGGCGGGGACACGCGCACGCCCCACCGCACCCTGGAGAACTACGACTCCCGGCGTGCCCCACGCGGAAAGTACGGGTGCCGCAAAGCGGCGGGCCAAGGCGGGGCTCTCCGCCCCACAGAGCGAGCGGTTATTCAATCCTTCACTCAGTCGGGCGGGAGCCGGTGGCGGCGGCGGGATGTCTCGGGGCCGGGAGCGCGTGGTGGCCCTGGTAGACATGGACTGCTTCTTTATGCAGGTGGAGCAGCGCCTCGACCCGCAGCTGCGCGGCCGCCCTTGCGCCGTGGTGCAGTACACCGAATGGCAGGGCGGCGGGTAGGTAGGCGAGCCGCCTTGGCGACCCCGACTCCTCGTCCCACCCCGCTCCCCGCGGGGCCGGGCCCGCCCTGCGCTTCACCTCCGTGTCTTGGCAGGATCATCGCGGTGAGCTACGAGGCGCGCGCCTTCGGCGTGTCCCGCGGGATGTGGGCGTCGGAGGCCCGGGCTCTGTGCCCCGAGCTGGCGCTGGCCCGGGTGCCGCAGGCGCGGGGCAAGGCGGACCTCACACGGTGAGAGCGGGGGCCGGGGGCGGCGGCGGCGGCGGCGCGGGCCTCCCTGGTGGCGCAGGGCGGCGGCTGAGCCCGTGCCCGCCGCCCGGCAGGTACCGGGAGGCCAGCGCGGAGGTGATGCAGGTGCTGTCGCGCTTCGCCGCCATCGAGCGCGCGAGCATCGACGAGGCGTACCTGGACCTGACGGGCAGCGCGCGCCACCGGCTGCGCGAGTTGCGCGGGCGCCCCCTGGCGGCCGCGCTGCTGCCCAGCACCTTCGTGCAGGGACTGCCCGCAGAGCCCGGCCCCGAGCCCGGCGGGAAGGGCGCGCACCGAGCTGATCCCGGCGGGAAGGGTACGCACCGACCCCCGCCCCCCCCGGGAAGGGCCCGCTCTACCTGCTCTAACTCCCTCCAATTGAGAGCTTGGTAAATGGGGTCTGCGTTTTCCGCAGTGAATGGCTTTTAAGGTGCACGTTCTCCTCCCTGTGGCTGGAATGCGCTTACGGAAGCCTGCGGCTGCTGCGGGTCCCTTTGCTGGGCTCAGCAAGAAGTGCCATATCGTGTCCCCTTGAGATCCCTTTTGTATCCCTTTTCTAGAGGAGCTGCGGCAGCGTGGTTTGGATGAGTGGCTGGCGTCGCTGTCTTTTGATAACCCAGATTGTCCTGACCTGCAGCTGACCATGGGCGCAGTAATTGTGGAAGAAATTAGGGTGGCAGTGGAAGAAGCTACTGGATTCCGGTGTTCAGCTGGCATCTCGCACAACAAGGTACGTGCATAACACATCAGCCTGAATCTTCTGGGCTACAGAGTCATAACGTACTGTAGATGGTCTCTTATACTTAGGAGTCTCCTGTACAGAAGATGAACCAAGTTGGGAATGCAACCATGTGTGATCACACCTTCAGAGAAATTATAAGACATCTGGAAATGGGAGGAGTTGTTTCCCCAGAGCTGTGGCCTGGGCAGTCAGCAATCCCCTCATTTACTGCCTGGATTCCTGGTGCACCCTAATGAGAGAGCTCACTAGGAATAAAAGGAGTTTAAGTCCTCTGGAGGTGTTTTCTCTAGAAAAAACAGAAGCATAAAGCAGGTAATCTTCACCTTGAGTTTCAGGCAACAGTCACTGTAGCCAGCTTCACTGACACAAATTCCCACTACTCAGTGGCAGAAGAACACCAGATTGGGGCACTGAGGTGAGCTGGGTTGTTTTTTGTCTTTCTGGTGAATCAGTGTTTACCCTGCTGGCCATGGGGATTTGGGTGATGCTCAGCCAGCTGCCGAGAGCAGCCACAGCAGCACTTGGTGCATGACAGCAGCTGCAGAAACAAACGGACTTTGATGCTGCAGCTACAGAGGGTTTCCTGCTGGGTGAAATGCAGGCTGGTTTGCTGAGGCATCCCTTTTGCTCTGCAAAAGAGGGGCTTATTATACAGTAATGACTTTATAAAGGCAAGCTATGACTTAAAAAAAAAAAAAGGAAAGAAAGTGAAGGCTAAATGGATGCTTTGGAGTTCAAGGAAGATATATTTCATTGACTGCTGCAGAAACAGCTGGTACTACTGCCAGCTGTACACAGGGATTGGAACTGGTTCTGCACTGGCTTAGTCTGAAACTAGCAGAGACTGTGAGGCAGAAATGAGCTAGCTGAGGAATGTCACTGGTGCAGAAATTTCTAGTGGAAGCTATGTTCAATTTGCCTTTTTGCTTTCTTTAGTCAAGAGTAACAGAGAACTTTCCTGATATTCCTAGCAGCTTCTCCCAGCTTCCATTTCCTATGCCAGCGTTTTGTTGGTTTTTTTTTAAAGAGTAAGGACATTGTGATGTACTGTGCTATCGCTGAAGAGCTGTGTATCTGTAGCAGCAAGCACAGTGCAGAGATCACCACAGCATACTTGTGGCTGTGCAGAACACTGTGCTGTGCTTCCACAGCCAGCTCACTTTGGTGGGTACAAACCTTTTCTGCAGAACAGAAGAGTGCTCTCAGCAAACCAGCCCACCTTCCACCCAGCAGGAAACCCTCTGTAGCTACAGCATCAAAGTCAGCAAAGTCCGTTTGTTTCTGCAGCTGCTGTCATGCACCAAGAGCTCCTGTGGCTGCTCTTGGCAGCTGGCTGAGCATCACCCAAATCCCCATGGCCAGCAGGGTAAACGCTGACTCACCAGAAAGAGGAAAAGCAACCCCCCTCACCTCGGTGCCCCAATTTGGTCTTCTGCCACCGAGTTGCTGGGAATTTGTGTCAGTAAAAACCATTCTCAAGCTACAACAACTGTTGCCTGAAACTCAAGGTGAAGATTATCTGCTTTATGCTTGTGTTTTTTCTACAGAAAACTCTCCCAAGGAACTGCTTTTCCCATTGAGGTACCTTATTAGAGTACACCAGGAACTCAGATGATGAATGAGACCAAAAAATTAGGAAGCACCTGAAGGACAACAGCATGGCTTTCTCAAGAACCACTCATGCCAATTCATTTTATGTGCTCTCCTTGACAGCCTAAGTGGCCAAATGTGCAGGAAAGACTACAGATGTGAGGTGTCAACCTTAAAGTTTCCAACACACCTCACCCTGAGCTGAGTAACCTGGTGATGACACTGTAGCAGACAACGTGGCTGAAGTTGTCTGAAGGGTATGCATGTAGCTGAAGAAAACATTACTGTTTCCCATAATGACTTTGTTAAATGAGGTGCCCTCAAATTGGGATGTTCAGAGTGGAATCCTGGGGGGATCTGTCCAAGGTCTGCTGAGAGCCAGCATTTTCACTGAAACCTACAGAGAGGGAACAGCTGTATGAATTCAGATGGGGCTCAGGGCACAGATGGGGCTCAGGGCCTGGGCTGTGAAAGTTCTGAGATGAAATTAGAGTTGAAAATTCTGAGCTTGAAAAAGCTTAGAGTCAGTCTGAAATCACCAAACAGCGCTTCTTATGCTCCTCTTATGCTCATTGACTGTTTTTGTGGTTTATAGAAAAAAAGCAACCAGCAGGATTTTGGCTGAGTCACAGTAAGTCAGGAAGTAGCCGGGAGTTGTGGACAAGCAGCAGGATGAGTCAGTAATATAAGTGGTCTTGTAGAAATGCCAAATCCTGTTTCAGCATGTGCAGTTTACAGAAGGTGTCAGAAAAAGTAAATGATTTCTCCCCATGAAGTCTCAGTGATTGGTTTCGCTTGCAGCACGTCACTTTATGAGGTGGGTAAACTTGGAAGTCTCCAGCCAGACAAGAAAAATAGCGATTGGACATCTGAAAAGGGATCTACTTTGTCTAGAAATGATTTCAAATGTATGTAAGCCTGTAAAATGGGCTGTTAATAAAGGCCATAGCTCAATAGGCAGGCAAGAAATTTTGCTTAGTTACAGGATGTGTGGCAAAGCACTGAAAGAGAAAGTTATTAGAGTTGTTCAATAAAACCTCAAACACCCAGCTAAGTGCACTTCAAGCTGCTCTGTGTATTTTTGACCCTGTGGTAGCTTAGAGTGGGAAAGGAAGCTGTATAGGAGAGCAGCCCTTCCAGGCTAGCAATTCTGCATTTTAAAGGTTTCCTTTTGCAGCACTATGCTGTTGCAGACCTCACAGAGAGAAGATTAAAATAGTGACATTGAGAAAAACAAGACAAACAGAGAAGATGAAGGAAAAAGGCATAGTGAGAGACATAGCCTGGGGGAGGACCATGGGCATGCTGTGGAAGCTCTAGCATGCTTGCCTGATGGAAAACTATAGCAACCACAACAGATGAAAGATGTTTATCTGCCTGGAGCAGGAGTCCAGCAATTCACAGAACTAAAGCCTGGAAGTAGCTAATGTATGTCACACCATGAGGTGGATACTGCCTAAGAGCAAGCAGTGGTGCACCCTGCACATATTTCTAGCAGCTATTCCAAGCTCTTAGAGGTGATGTAGCACAAGCTGTTAAGTAGAGTCACATTAGGCCAGTGCACAGTGTATAATAACAGAGTTTCCACCCTTTTCTGTGTTACAGACACTGGCAAAGCTGGCCTGTGGGTTGAACAAGCCCAACCGGCAGACGCTGGTGTCTGCACGGTTTGTGCCGCAGCTCTTCAGCCAACTGCCCGTCAGCAGCATGTAAGTACCAGGGAGCTGCTGCTGCTTCTCCTCAGCACAGCAATGGGAGCTCACTGACAGCAGCCAGCAGAGGCTCTCAGCTCCACACTAACTGCTTGGCAATGCTCCTAACAAACAGAGGGAATGCTGCCAGTGATCTCTTGTGGCTGTGAGTGACAGTTCAGGGGGAGTGTGCTTGGGAAGTACAGCCCTGCTGGTGAACAGACCACAGTCCATAATCCCACCAGCAGCCTGTGGGCATCCTTTCCCAGGGTAAGGCTGTGCTCAGGATGTCTGCTGGGGTGTGTAGGTGTAAGCCAGAAGCAACTGTAAGCAAGGAGGCCATAGCTGTTGACTATGTGTGACTGACAGCTGTCCTCACAGAGAGCAGATGTGGTTTGCTTTTTAGCATCCACACTGTGCACAAGTACTTTTCCTGGTGTAGGGAAGTGTTACCAGCACTGCTGCTCCAGAGGAATGGATCCCTAATCCTGCTTTCCAGGCCTGCACTGCTGCTCTCTGCTTTCTGTGTCTTGCAAGGGATGGAGAAGGATGTGTGTGGGAAAGGGTCCTGTCTTTGTAGGAAGAAGGAAGCTGTATGTGAGGCATTCTTCAGAGCATAGTTTGGGATCAGATGGAGCTGAGGGAGAAGCACTAAAATTGGGGGACCTAAGGAGCAGTTCCTACATCAACTCCTATGTGTCCTTTTACTGTGATCAGAAGAGCCAGGTGTTCCTTTTGTCCTGCTAGTTCCTAGCAGCTTCTAGCTGTCCTTATCTAGGAACAGCTGCTGCCATGAGACTTGTCACAGTGTCCACATGATGCTTCATCTGTGTGTTTTTTCCTTTGTTTCTCTGCCGTAGCCGTAACCTGGGAGGCAAGCTTGGCACTGCTATCACAGACATCCTGGGAGTGGAGTACATCGGGGAGCTGACACATTTCAGTGAGACTGAGCTCCAGACACATTTTGGAGACAAAACTGGGTAATGATGAACCACTCACCACAACTTGGCTCTTGGCAGGAATTGAGACTTCCTTTCAGTCACAGAACCTTGTTCTGC